TTTCCGAATTGAAATTAACGCATTTTTGGCATAATTATGATGTTTGCAAAACACTGAATTTTTACAAAAATTGCCGGCTTTTATACCTTTTTGCTGGGTCTTAGTATTAATCAGAAGCTTAAAACACAATGAAGGAATCATTTCCGACCCTATAAATCATATATATTATTGTTCAGAATGAACAACTGAATCGATCTAGCCATGTCTAGTGGCAAAATAAATGTTTGCATTTTTTTCCGAAATTTGAAAAAAACATAAGGGGTTACATCATTAAAATTTGCTAAATTCGACCAAAAATCGAATTTTTTAAATTTCAAAACGCAGTATGCAGATTTGTTAGCGCTATGAAGTCTAGCACAGAACAGCTTTCCGAATTGAAATTAACGCATTTTTGGCTTAGTTATGATGTTTGCAAAACACTGAATTTTTACAAAAATTGACTGTTTTTATACCTTTTTTCTGGTTATTATAATTTCAGTCCAAAGCTTTTAACAGCATCAACAAACGCAGTAAGCAGATTTGTTAGCGCTATAAAGACTAGCACAGAACAGCTTTCCGAATTGAAATTAACGCATTATTGGCATAATTATGATGTTTGCAAAACACTGAATTTTTACAAAAATTGCCGGCTTTTATACCTTTTTGCTGGGTCTTAGTATTAATCAGACGCTTAAAACACAATGAAGGAATCATTTCCGACCCTATAAATCATATATATTATTGTTCAGAATGAACAACTGAATCGATCTAGCCATGTCTAGTGGCAAAATAAATGTTTGCATTTTTTCCGAAATTTGAAAAAACATAAGGGTTACATCATTAAAATTTGCTAAATTCGACCAAAAATCGAATTTTTTAAATTTCAAAACGCAGTATGCAGATTTGTTAGCGCTATAAAAATTAGCACAGAACAGCTTTCCGAATTGAAATTAACGCATTTTTGGCTTAGTTATGATGTTTGCAAAACACTGAATTTTTACAAAAATTGCCTGTTTTTATACCTTTTTCTGGTTATTATATTTCAGTCCGAAGCTTTTAACAGCATCAACAAACGCAGTATGCAGATTGTTACGCTATAAGATAGCAAGAAACTTCGAATGAAATTAACGCATATGCATAATATGTTGCAAAACATGAATTTTACAAAAATGCCGCTTTTATTTTTTTGTTATTATAATTCAGTCCGAAGCTTTTAACAGCATCAACAAACGCAGTATGCAGATTTGTTAGCGCTATAAAGACTAGCACAGAACAGCTCTCCGAATTGAAATTAACGCATTATTGGCATAATTATGATGTTTGCAAAACACTGAATTTTTACAAAAATTGCGGCTTTTATACCTTTTTGCTGGGTCTTAGTATTAATCAGAAGCTTAAAACACTATGAAGGAATCATTTCCGACCCTATAAATCATATATATTATTGTTCAGAATGAACAACTGAATCGATCTAGCCATGTCTAGTGGCAAAATAAATGTTTGCATTTTTTTCCGAAATTTGAAAAAAACATAAGGGGTTACATCATTAAAATTTGCTAAATTCGACCAAAAATCGAATTTTTTAAATTTAAAACGCAGTATGCAGATTTGTTAGCGCTATGAAGTCTAGCACAGAACAGCTTTCCGAATTGAAATTAACGCATTTTTGGCTTAGTTATGATGTTTGCAAAACACTGAATTTTTACAAAAATTGACTGTTTTTATACCTTTTTTCTGGTTATTATAATTTCAGTCCAAAGCTTTTAACAGCATCAACAAACGCAGTAAGCAGATTTGTTAGCGCTATAAAGACTAGCACAGAACAGCTTTCCGAATTGAAATTAACGCATTATTGGCATAATTATGATGTTTGCAAAACACTGAATTTTTACAAAAATTGCCGGCTTTTATACCTTTTGCTGGGTCTTAGTATTAATCAGACGCTTAAAACACAATGAAGGAATCATTTCCGACCCTATAAATCATATATATTATTGTTCAGAATGAACAACTGAATCGATCTAGCCATGTCTAGTGGCAAAATAAATGTTTGCATTTTTTTCCGAAATTTGAAAAAAACATAAGGGGTTACATCATTAAAATTTGCTAAATTCGACAAAAATCGAATTTTTTAAATTTCAAAACGCAGTATGCAGATTTGTTAGCGCTATAAAAATTAGCACAGAACAGCTTTCCGAATTGAAATTAACGCATTTTTGGCTTAGTTATGATGTTTGCAAAACACTGAATTTTTACAAAAACTGTCTGTTTTTATACTTTTTTCTGGTTATTATAATTTCAGTCCGAAGCTTTTAACAGCATCAACAAAAGCAGTATGCAGATTTGTTAGTGCTATGAAGACTAGCACAGAACAGCTTTCCGAATTGAAATTAACGCATTTTTGGCATAATTATGATGTTTGCAAAACACTGAATTTTTACAAAAATTGCCGGCTTTTATACCTTTTTGCTGGGTCTTAGTATTAATCAGAAGCTTAAAACACAATGAAGGAATCATTTCCGACCCTATAAATCATATATATTATTGTTCAGAATGAACAACTGAATCGATCTAGCCATGTCTAGTGGCAAAATATATGTTTGCATTTTTTTCCGAAATTTGAAAAAAACATAAGGGGTTACATCATTAAAATTTGCTAAATTCGACCAAAAATCGAATTTTTTAAATTTCAAAACGCAGTATGCAGATTTGTTAGCGCTATAAAAATTAGCACAGAACAGCTTTCCGAATTGAAATTAACGCATTTTTGGCTTAGTTATGATGTTTGCAAAACACTGCATTTTTACAAAAATTGCCTGTTTTTATACCTTTTTTCTGGTTATTATAATTTCAGTCCGAAGCTTTTAACAGCATCAACAAACGCAGTATGCAGATTTGTTAGTGCTATGAAGACTAGCACAGAACAGCTTTCCGAATTGAAATTAACGCATTTTTGGCATAATTATGATGTTTGCAAAACACTGAATTTTTACAAAAATTGCCGGCTTTTATACCTTTTTGCTGGGTCTTAGTATTAATCAGAAGCTTAAAACACAATGAAGGAATCATTTCCGACCCTATAAATCATATATATTATTGTTCAGAATGAACAACTGAATCGATCTAGCCATGTCTAGTGGCAAAATAAATGTTTGCATTTTTTTCCGAAATTTGAAAAAAACCAAAAATCGAATTTTTTAAATTTCAAAACGCAGTATGCAGATTTGTTAGCGCTATAAAAATTAGCACAGAACAGCTTTCCGAATTGAAATTAACGCATTTTTGGCTTAGTTATGATGTTTGCAAAACACTGAATTTTTACAAAATTGCCTGTTTTTATACCTTCTTTCTGGTTATTATAATTTCAGTCCGAAGCTTTTAACAGCATCAACAAACGCAGTATGCAGATTTGTTAGCGCTATAAAGACTAGCACAGAACAGCTCTCCGAATTGAAATTAACGCATTATTGGCATAATTATGATGTTTGCAAAACACTGAATTTTACAAAAATTGCCGGCTTTTATACCTTTTTGCTGGGTCTTAGTATTAATCAGAAGCTTAAAACACAATGAAGGAATCATTTCCGACCCTATAAATCATATATATTATTGTTCAGAATGAACAACTGAATCGATCTAGCCATGTCTAGTGGCAAAATAAATGCTTGCATTTTTTTCCGAAATTTGAAAAAAACATAAGGGTTACATCATTAAAATTTGCTAAATTCGACAAAAAATCGAATTTTTTAAATTTCAAACGCAGTAGGCAGATTTGTTAGCGCTATAAAAATTAGCACAGAACAGCTTTCCGAATTGAAATTAACGCATTTTTGGCTTAGTTATGATGTTTGCAAAACACTGCATTTTTACAAAAATTGCCTGTTTTTATACCTTTTTTCTGGTTATTATAATTTCAGTCCGAAGCTTTTAACAGCATCAACAAACGCAGTATGCAGATTTGTTAGCGCTATAAAGACTAGCACAGAACAGCTCTCCGAATTGAAATTAACGCATTATTGGCATAATTATGATGTTTGCAAAACACTGAAGTTTTACAAAAACGGCCTGTTTTTATACCTTTTTTCTGGTTATTATAACTTCAGTCCGAAGCTTTTAACAGCATCAACAAACGCAGTATGCAGATTTGTTAGCGCTATAAAGACTAGCACAGAACAGCTCTCCGAATTGAAATTAACGCATTATTGGCATAATTATGATGTTTGCAAAACACTGAATTTTTACAAAAATTGGCGGCTTTTATACCTTTTTGCTGGGTCTTAGTATTAATCAGAAGCTTAAAACACTATGAAGGAATCATTTCCGACCCTATAAATCATATATATTATTGTTCAGAATGAACAACTGAATCGATCTAGCCATGTCTAGTGGCAAAATAAATGTTTGCATTTTTTTCCGAAATTTGAAAAAAACATAAGGGGTTACATCATTCAAATTTGCTAAATTCGACCAAAAATCGAATTTTTTAAATTTCAAAACGCAGTATGCAGATTTGTTAGCGCTATAAAAATTAGCATAGAACAGCTTTCCGAATTGAAATTAACGCATTATTGGCTTAGTTATGATGTTTGCAAAACACTGAAGTTTTACAAAAACGGCCTGTTTTTATACCTTTTTTCTGGTTATTATAACTTCAGTCCGAAGCTTTTAACAGCATCAATAAATGCAGTATGCAGATTTGTTAGCGCTATAAAGACTAGCACAGAACAGCTTTCCGAATTGAAATTAACGCATTATTGGCATAATTATGATGTTTGCAAAACACTGAATTTTTAAAAAAATTGCCTGTTTATTAGACCTTTTGCTGGGTATTAGTATTAATCAGAATCTTATAACACAATAAAAGAATCATTTTCATTAAATTGATGTATTAAGTACTGACACACAACCGTTTAGAACTCAAAAAATATATTACAAAGTCACCCAATTGATTATAATCGCACCCTATGCCCAATTATAGTAGTCCTCTCTCTCTTTGAAACTTAAGTTTTTTTTTTTGTAGAATTTATTGAAAAAGTTGACATAAATACATGCATGCATATTGTTGTATACTAAATATATAATATATGTGTCTTTTACATTTCGTCTGTTGACTCTTGCGTAAATATCTACGGTTCTGTTTGGATCGCTTGGCGTGGAGCCCACGGAAAATATTGCTGTCGGATTGGTGTGGAGCGACACGGGTCGCGTAAAAAAATATATCAGTTACGAAATGTACATCCATTATACTCGATAATTGAGTTATTATTGCAACAGATTTGCCCAGCTTCGTTTCGACAGCGGAGAGTCCGCGTCGCGTTGAACGTGTGATGTGGTAACTGCAATGGAGGAGACATCGTGCTCCCCTCGGTCTGAATACACGCTCTTTGGAAACGCAAATACATATATTCCGGTTTGAATTTGAATGGGTTTGCTGCTGGCCAGTGTCCAGTGTCCTGTCCTGCCCTGTGCAGTGGTTCGCAAAATGTCCAAACTTTTTGGGAACAGGAACAAGCTTTGAAAATGCCTCAAACTACATACATATACGAATACAATATAAGCCGCCGTCGTCTTCTTGAATATACTTTTGATATTGGTTACGATTAAGTACTTAATGTGCTAAAGATATCGCACACACGTGGTAATTAAACTTCTATAGATTTCGTTTCGGGGAAAGTATAACGATCTCTGAGCCCGAGGAATCGGGTCCCGGAAGTGTGTGTTTGGAAAAATCAAATGGGGAATAGTCGGAATAATCATCGTTCGCGGTGTGTGGTTTTAAATACGCTTAGCTTGGATTTGATCATAGTTTTTGTTTGTTTTGGTTTACTTTAATTTAAGTACGACAGTTATGCATAAATGACTAATATTTTGTTTGCTTCACATCTATTTTACTTGTGAGTTTTTGCATTAAAATACTTTTGGTTTTCCTTATCGATTTCATTACACATCGACTTGATTCGATTCGATTTGTTATTTACGCAACGCTAAAACATTTTAAAATGCATTTTCAAAGTTAATTCAATAAATACGCTGTTTGCTTTTCCATTAGATAGGTTCTGTAAGCTTTTAAAGATCTAGACATTGTTTTCGAGTGTCAAAAATTAGCAGAAAATGGTTGCCTACGAAGCGGCCGCCCAGTCCTGCTCGTGCTCCGGCTCCTGCTCCTCCAGCGAGAACGAAAAGCTGGCTATATTGGCGGTGTATTGGGTGTCGGTGCCTCTCCTTTATTGTTGCCGACTGCAGTGGTGGCTAGCAACCCTCGGACGACTTGTCAGGCTGCGATGCAGTTCCTTCCCCGTCCACCCTCCCTCCCGCGCATGCGCTCTTCTTTTCCTCTCTGCTCCCGTTCCCTGGTCCAGCTCCTCCCTACTGCTTCAACCTGGCCCGGTCACCGCTCTCCCGGCCGCCGGGCCCGTCCCTCTAGAGGCGGTTCTGATTAAGTTGCGAGCGCGGCGTGAAGGGGCTGACCATGACGCCGCTGGGCCAGATCGCCTCATTGAACAGCTCATTAAAGCGGTAGTCCGGAATGGAGATCTTGAACTTGCAGTACGACAGCTGCGACAGGTTGGCGTCGTTCTTCACCAGCTTGGTGCACTTGACCAGGTTCTTGTTAATCTTCAGCTCCTCGGCCAGGTGGTCGATCACATCCTCCTCGCTGGTATTGGTAGCGAATTTGCCCACCTGCACCCAGCGGCCATAGTCGCAGACAACCTGCAGCCGATCCGAGTTGCAGTTGTTGCCAACGACAATAAGGTTGTTCTGCTGCGGATGCTTCTTGCCGTCGAGACCGCTCCCGGGGCCACCAGGCCCAAGGCCGGAACCCATGCCACCAGAACCGGCACCCAGAGCTTGCAGCGGCTGGTTGCCGAACTGGAAGTACTGCTGGTACATCCTGCCCTGGATCTGGTTGACGCCGTTGCACACCTTGTTCACCTTCTCCTCGATGGTCTGCAGTTTGGTGGCGAAGGCGCGAGGCGATTGATTTTTGCACTCGTCGCAGTGGAACGAGACCATCGAGTTTTTCTGGATGGCTTCGAACACCGCGTCATCGATGTTGACGCACGTGCGGTGGAAGCGCCGGCGGCACTCCTCGCCGCTGCAAGCGATGCTCGTGGTGGCTGCCTCCTTGGCGACGATCGATTTCTTGCACTTTGGGCAGTTTTCGGCCATGATTAGCAGTCGTTGGATGTGGCTAGCTCCGCTGGGTTTCGCTGGATTCTCTTGGATTTCAGTACCTCCGAATGGGTTCTAACAGCTTTTCTTCGAAATGGCTGACGTGCGCCGCAGACGGAAATGGGAATTCGCTATGAACTTCCAGAAAAAACACACACACACTGACGCACACTGGGTACATACAGCTGGGCCACGGCACAGCTACAGCTCCAGCAACAATAACAAATGCTAGAAATTCGACCGAAAGTCGCCTCCTCTCGCTTCTTCACCCTCTCCTTTTTCAGTATGGTGCCTGCGTGTGTGTGTGTGTGTGTGCGAGAAGAGCGAAGAGCTGAAATCGAGGAAAGAGAACGACGGGAACAACGCGAAACCTGACAACCGAACGCTCCGAAGTTTGCAGAATGACTGTGCCGGATCTAAGGCCGAGTCGGAGCAGCAACCCCTGCGAAAGCTGCCAGGCCACGTCGGGGGTGGTTTTAACCCCTATTCTCACCATATGATTGCCGCAAGTCGTCGGCTGGCAACCAGTTTTTATTTGGATTGCACCCACCCTGTTTTCTGTTGGATTGTGGATTTTTACACGTTCAGTCAGTGCGATTCAGTGTTGGAAATTCTAAGATTTCCAGTAAAAGGTAAGAATTACTAGCATCCAGCATATACTTTTAAAATATGCATGGTTTTTAAATTACTATTTATCTTTTTTTCGATAAATTCTTTCAACCACAAGAGAGATTTTTAAAAATTACCTTGCCTTTCACAATAAATATTTCCAGTAATGCATCCCCAAAAACAATATTATATTAAACATTAATGCGTATAAAAAGCCAAACAAAATTAATAAAAAATTCAAATTTTAAAATAAGGCAAAATAATAATATTCATATTAAAGCTAAAGTTTTCCAGTATATATATGTTCTTAGTTAATTAATAGTTATAGTTTTTTTTATATATAATAACAGTATCAAAACAAAACCGATATAAATCCTTTAAAAATAATCGCCGTTACTACTTTAAATTGAAATAAGCTCTACAGAAAGGATGTCCTCTTTCTTAGTTAATTAATAGTTATAGTTTTTTTTTATAAATAATAACATTATTAAAACAAAACCGATATAAATCCTTTAAAAATAATCGCCCTTACTACTTTAAATTGAAATAAGCTCTACAGAAAGGATGTCCTCCGCTTTGCTGGCCATACAACTGGCTTACAATGTAGTACTTCAATTACACACCTGCAGTTTGCTGCACTTGCTGCACAGTAATTGAAGCCGTTATCCTGGCACCCGACACCGGACACCTGCTCCCTGCACCCGTCGCAACTTGCAACAGTTGTCCGTTTTCACGGATGAACACTCTCACCTCGCGGATGCAGCGAACTGGGAAAAGGGACACGCGAACAACACGCTCCGCCAACTGAGGCTGTGCGCACAAGCTGCGCTGTATTTATACGCGGCTCCACGCAGAGATGTACCCGTGTCCGCCTTCCGTGCTCCAGAGTTCGGAATCAGTGCAGCCGGAGAGGGGGATGAAGGCTGTCTGAGTGCGATGGACGGGGGGTGTTTGCGCATGTCCTTGCCGTTAACTGGCGATGAAGTTAATAATAATAAACAAGTAAATTTGTTATTGCCAAAATCGATGCGACAATACAATTCCTAGGAGCTACTTTTTCGATTTTGTTTGTTGTTAACATTATAAATATTAATTTATTATTATTAAGAAACTAGTTATTAAAAAGCCTCATCAACTGTTTTATTTTAAGCCTTTTAATCTCATTGAATTATATTTCGAATAAATATACCCTTTTTCTTTATATTTAATGGGTACCAAAAATGGCAGGAAAAATGAATATAAAATTTTCAGGTGTTGGGCCTTCGCCCTCGATGACTCTGTGGGTCTCCGCCCCAGCTCCCTTGCTCCTCCTTCCGACTCTTTGCAGATGTTATTGTTTGCCATCAGCCGCCTCCAGGACTCGCTTGTTGGGCGGACACCTTCGGTAATTGGGTTTCATTTGGGGCAGCAACGGAGGGCGACGGAGGCGGGGGCTTTTCCGTTTCCTTTGTGGATCCTTCTTAGCACTGCTCCAATTTCACCCCGGCGCCTGCATTGTCAATAGATTTTAATCAGGTGTGGCAAGCTTGGTAAACAGAGGCGCCTCCTCCGACCCTTTCCTCGCTGGTTTCCTCTATTTAAATCTGGTCTCCTTGCCACCACAGACTATTATTTTCATTATCCTGTCGCTGTCTCCGCACCAATTGTTATTTATATATGCCCCCACGTGGGTCCTGCATCCCTTTACCGGGAATCAAGTGCGCAGTTCGCCACACGTTCGGGGCAACGCTGAATAGTATGCTACACTTTTTATGGGAGACTATTTTTATGTTTTTATACCCTTGCAGGGTATTATAATTTCAGTCAGAAGTTTGCAACGCAGTGAAGGAGGCACCTCCGACTATATAAAGTATATATATTCTTGATCAGGATCAACAGCCGAGTCGATCTAGCCATGTCCGTCTGTCCGTCTGTCCGTCTGTCCGTCTGTCCGTCTGTCCGTCTGTCCGTCTGTCCGTCTGTCCGTTTCTACGCAAACTAGTCTCTCAGTTTTGAAGCTATCTAAATGAAACTTTGCAGTTAGTCTTCTATATACTCTCACTCGTATATATGTCGGAACGGGCCGGATCGGACGACTATATCATATAGCTGTCATAGGAATGATCGGAAAAGTTTTACAAAAAAAATTATAAAATTTTTAGTTTTCAACAGAATTTGATCAAATTTAAGATATAGCCATTTCATATTATTCTACAATTTTGTGTAAAATTTTATGAAAATCGGACGGCTATATCATATAGCTCCCATAGGAACGATCGAGAAATTAATTCAATTAATAAGTATAACATTTTCAGTTTTCAACAGATTTTCATCAAATTTGAGATATAGCCGTTTTATATTATTCTACAATTTTGTGTAAAATTTTATGAAAATCTGACTAATATATCATATAGCTCCCATAGGAACGATCGAGAAATTTGAGAGGAATGAGAATGGCGGTGGCTGTTGTCGGAAGACTGACAATCGCGGTGGCGATAACATTTTTAGTTTTCAACAGAATTTAATCAAATTTGAAATATAGCCATTTCATATTATTCTAAAATTTTGTGTAAAATTTTATGAAAATCGGACTACTATATCATATAGCTCCCATAGGAACGATCGAGAAATTAATACAATTAAATTTATAACTTTTTTAGTTTTCAGCTGATTTTCATAAAATTTGAGGTAAAGCCATTTTATATAAGTCTTAAATTTTGTGGCAAATTTCATAAAAATCGGACGACTATATCATATAGGTGCCATACAATCGATCGTTTGATGTAGAGGAAAAATGCAAATCTGTGAATGTAAAACTGCAAATATAATATGTATAGGTGAATGAAATGAAAGCAGGTATTACTTCATTGTTTTTTAACACAAATATATATAATTTATATTGTATGGATTCCTATTCATAGAAGTTCTATCTGCAAGGGTATATAAACTTCGGCGTGCCGAAGTTAGCTTCCTTTCTTGTTAGTTATGACATTTGAAGACAATTCGATTTACTCAACAAATTTGCATATAAAAATGTTAATTTAATGTCCCTAGAACACACATATTTTAGCCAATCGCTGCCAAAAGGCATAATATATATTTGAAATTGGAATCCAAATCTAAATTTATAAAGATTTGACAAAAATTTTAACTGCATTTTTCATTTCCCTTAATAAAAAACATTTATTTTGTTTTTATTTATTTATTTAAATAATTATGTATTTTCGGGGTGCAATTAATCATTAAATTAATTAGTAATATTATTGTTATATACGGTTCATATATATATATATATGTATATATATACTCTCATTTCCGTTTGTTTTTTCTTGTCTTCTGGTTTTCTTACATCTTTCCCTTAGATTTCCGCCCGCTTTCCTTCCGTGAACTGAAGTTCCTTTCTTATTCCAATTTCCGGGACTCTCATAGGTGTGTTTTTGGTTTTTGTTGTGTATACAATTTGTGTTTTTTCTTCTTTTCGGTTAAAATCGAAACAAAAATCGAAACGCTTTTCTAAACACTTGTCATTATGTTGGTTATTACATACATATATTGGATTTATATCTGATAATGGTTATATGCATGTGAAGTGTCGTCTGGGTGAGTACGAAATGGACATTGAACGAGATTTACTAATAAGCTTTAAGGGGAGCGACATATTGTACACGCTACGAATATTGCTAAAAATACCTGCATTTGGAATTGGATCTTCGATTTAACCCTCACTTCTTTCTTTATCTTTTTGTTTCTTTTTCGATTTATTTTTGTAATTTAACATATTATTCTCGTCGATTTGTTTTGTTTGTGCCCCAAAATGTGTGTGTCTAGTAGGCAAAGTAGCACTTTGGGCAGGCGCTTGTTGAATCAATTAGTAATAATACACTTTAATTGTAGTATAGTTTTTGTATTTTTAGAACAAGGTATAAGTACAATATGTGCGGCAAAGTTTTATGTATTTCTCTATGCGTTCGGATGGGCTTTCGGTGTCTGGTGAATTGTGGTGTGTGGTCTGTGGCATGTGGAGTGGAGTGTGTGAGATCTAATATCATCATATCGTTACACGTACGTACATTTATGTTTATATAGGCTCTACGAATCCATCTCCTCTATTACTCGTAACATTGAAATATACATACATATTGGTAACTGCCTCTGCCTTGCTCTGTTAAATAAACAACTCCCTTGGATAACCAACGTAACGTAACGTATTGTGTGTCTAGCGCTTAATTTAATCGTTGAACTGTCCGGTTTCATCTTTCATCTTCAATTTCAATCGCGTAATACCATTATAATGATTGCACATAAACAAAATGGCTGCAAAATAAATAGCTTTGTATATTTTCACTAGATTTCAAGAGTTCTTTGGTTTCTTTGGTTTTTGCCTTCTTTCTATATAAGTTTGTTGCACAGTAAAGTTCCATGAATACATTTAATAGTCAATTATCTATATGTTTAATTGCTGTTATTTCTTTCTTTCTTTTTTGGATTATACATTTTCGAATACTCGCACATATTTGCGTAACTTTACTTAGGAACAAAAGCTTAGATTTCTTTGGTTTCTGCCGCCTGTTCCGAAATAGTTCCGTTCTTTACTTGTCTTTTCTAGATTTTTTGCTAAGGAAACTGAGTTCAAAGAGCTGCGAACATTGGAAAGCGACCGCCTGGCTCTCCTTCTGACACTGGCGCTCCTTGTTGCCAGTGCAGCGCAGAGATTCCAGTTCCGTATAGTATAAGTATGAGATTTTGGTTGGTTTTTGGTTTCGGTTTTGTTTTCGGGGTTACTCGTAATATTCAAGTTTCATATATTTATATTTATATTTATATTTTTATGTTATATTTATATATATATACCGCTTTTTTATGCATGAAATAATGTAACCATAAACAAATTAGCAACAACTTTAATTTGTCCGGAGCGTCCGTCTTCCCTTTTAGATTTAGTATTAATATTATGACGTAAGTACTTAAAACCTCTCCTGCTCATCGTTAAAGTGGAAATTATTACTGAGTTCCATGCAATTCTCGAGATTTTCTAGTTTAACTGAGATTTCCTTTTTGGGATTTGGGTTTTGTTGTTGTTTCGCCGCCGCCACTGGGGTGGTGGTGGTGTCATCTTATCATCGAGAAACGTTCGTCAATGCAGCCAGGATACGGGACACTTATACGCCTCCATGGTCGCCGCCTGCTGCTACTCCTGCTCCTCCAGCGCCTGCTCCTCCATCATCCACCAGCGACGACTGGCCGGCGGGCTGCTGCTGCGGCGGCGGCGGCGGTGGCTGCATGTACTGCGGGGGATACTGGTACTGCGGCGGCTGCTCCCCGCCTATGAGGCCAAGTTTATCTGTGCGGGAATACACATAATCAGGGTTAGTGGATTGAATTAACAAAGGGCTCATCTTTTGGTTAGCTGCCGCCAATCTCGGTCGAATGACAATCACATCGATACACACGGGTATACGCCAAAAATATTACACTTTCAATGGTTAAAAGCTTCACTCATGATTGAATATATTATATTATATATATATTTATATAGTAGCAAGTGGACGTGGGATGTAGATTATGGATGGGCAAGGGCATCCAAAGCATATATATGTACATTAAGGCAGTCACAGAAAGCTGTTCATCCCCCATTTTCCCCGCCAAATAATTTCCCCCGGCTTTGCTTAGTTGGTGCATTAAAACTTAGGCCAATTTTTCCAGAACAGAACGCATATTTCAACAACATTGAATGGATAAATTAAAGAAAACATAAGGAGGAGTACTAAGCTCAAGGGCAAGCACATCGATTAACTCACACACATGCGGCTAAAATAATACAGAAACATGGGAAACAGCGGAAACGGAAATGGAAACACAAACGGAAACGGAAAGAAGCGCAGGTGTCAAATTACATGTTTTTTAGTTTTTTGCTTACAGTGTTGAAAAATATCGTATTTTTTTCAATGGTACAAAGAAAATGTGTTTTGTTTTTCTGATTTTTCTCAATTTTTGTTTGCTAATTTTGGTTTAATGGTTCTACGGATGCAGCTGGTGGTTAATCGATGGATGTTGTTGCTATTCAGTTGGTTGGTAATTATTAATTTCTGATTGAGAGAGCTGAGCTGAGATCGTTCTATTGTCCAGTCGCCACTTCATCCGACGGACTCTGTGGGTTGTCGGTCAATTTCTCGGCCAATGGCTTCTCAAGTGTCGGTGGTTCAGATTTTTGTGTATGGTGGTGTTGTAGCTGTACTTGTTGTTGTGGTGGTGATGGTGGTGCCAAATCTGCTGCAGATGCCTGGGCCTGAGCCAGAGCAGCCTGCTGCTGCTGCAAGGCAGGTAGCTGCTGCTGCTGCTGCGGAGCAGCATTGTCATCCGACATGTACGGTTCTACGAGAAATTTTTGTTTGTTTCGATGAATTTTTAATTGTTTTTTTGGTTGCGAAGCGAGCAGATTTCAACAATATAAAAACAAAGAAAAACATAAATATAAAAACACGATAGAAATTCGAGTTGTTGATTGGAATAAATGATTATTATTTTTGCTTTAAACGGGTGCACCTAGCGATATGATTAATAATAAACAAAAGTGACTCTCGTCGTCGCGTCTCTTTACCTCACACATCAGACTGTGTGTGTCTGTGGTATTTCGGGGGTAAATTGTGTTGATCGAGAGTCATATATTCTTATGGTAAACAAATATTGTACAAAGCTTTCAGTGTGTCTCAGTTACTCTTCGTCTTTCTCTGTAATTGTTCAAAAATAAATTGTTCAGTGTGGCAGTGTGTCGAACATAGGTGGAAAACATTTAATAAATATAATAAGAATAAAAGGAACGGCAGTACTTTATGCTTTTTCTGTGGTTCAAGTATATAGCTAGCTCTTTGATCTAATTGGGCGATGGCCGTTGCGTTTTGCGTTGAGTTTAGAGTTCAGAGTGAAGAGTTGAGAGTTTTCGAGTATCGAGAGAAGAGGGGGTCTATGTATACTACGTTTACTGGGGAAGCTGGGGGTTTCGAGTTGTATTTTTATATATTTTTACAGAGGACTCGGCACAATAATTGTGTATTTGTGGCTGCTGCCAATCATCAGAACGAAACAAACGAAAAACGGATACGAAACACTGAACAAACCACAAACTTTACGATTACGGCTTACGGGAATGTTACTTCAGCTAAGTTTGTATGCTCGAACTTAAGGTCCTACGGTTACGAAAGCTAACAAGGTACAAGGTACAAACAAAGGTATATCGCCGCTGTGCTGGGAGCAGAGGGGCGGTATCCTCGGATTACGGGTGTTAAGGCAACGGAACGATAACAAGACACGTTAACGACACACGATCAAATCATTACCGAACCTGTGCGTATGCTCGTTATGGAACCAGATGATGTTGGGCTTGGATATTCAAACAATACAAATATATACCGTATATATTTATATATAAATATATATATGGTTATTGTTCTAGTGGCTGTTGAGGCGCATGATATGGTATATGGCTTTTTTATAATTTCGCAAGGCATCTAGGTCGAATCAGCGAACGATCAGTTGGACTGTGAGTTCGGCGGAGCTCTACTCATAATAGCTGCGTTAGTGAATCTGAATTTTGGTTTCGATTGGTTCTTATTGGGTTGATTGATTGGCTTTTGATTTAGTTTCGATTTTCATTGCATTGCGGCTAAGTTACTATGTTCTTATGGATTAGATAAGTTGCTTAGCAATCTACATAAAGTTACCTAGAGAAAAAAACGTGGCAAAGTGGAATTAAAAACGCAATTTAGATTCGGAGTGTGTGTAGAGAAACGAAATCGAAATTAGCGCTAAAACAAGGCGAACTCAAAAGACAAAACACAATTCGGTTAAGGAACGAGGAGTTTCTTGGAGTTTCTTCGGTTTCGGTTATATGTCTGAGTCGCGTGGCTCTGGGGGTCATGTATGCTGTGTGTGTGTGTCCAGGTAATGAGTGTCTGAGGAGCCGGCTAGGATCGATCAACTTACTTGCAATGATGCCCACGACAACCAGGCCAATCACTCCCATGATGATCATCATCTGCGGGAAGGAGTCTATATAGTCAAAGGATTTGTATTAGCTAAATTTAGAAGCTACCCACCTTCAAATTCTGCAGCCAGAATTTCCTCTTAAGCTTGCCCGCCTGCTGCTCGAACTGCGAGGCACCCTGCTGCAAGGCATCGGCACGATCGTCCAGCTCCGACAGCTTACTGTCGCGCTCCAGCACCTTCTCCACATTCGTGCGCATGATGTCCACGACCTACATGAAAAACGGTATATATCAAGACTCTCCTTCAATGAAAGCAATTCTGATAGAGTAGAATAGGTAGGTCTTAATCCTTACAGTGACATTTCTTAAGAATCTTATTGACCTTTCTTCTCCCGTATAACTTACCTCATCAACCTGCGCCTGCGTCTGCTGCAAACGCTTCTGTGCCGCAATCTGCTGCGGATTGTGTGGCCCGCCCACAATCTCGCCATCGCCGCCCTCTCCGGCCGGGGCTCCGGCATTTGGTGGTGCATCGCCAGCTGGTGCAGCGTCCGCCCTGCGATGCGAAGGAGCATGATGATGAGGATAAGCAGAAAAAGTCGTCATTAGTCATCGAGAAATGCACAAAAATAGCACAGAGCCAAGACTAATCAACTCCCAACGGGGGTTCGCTCAAATTAAATACAGTACTTGGATTACACTGGGGAACTGGGTGTGTGAGTTGGGTTCGGGATTCGACTAGTTGCTAGCTTTAATTGAATACATCTCTCGCCGATACAGTACGTGTGGGCTATATAGACAGTGCTGGAATATATACGAGTAATTTTAGCCGGCAAATGGCTACGGCTACGGCTACCCTTTTGATTTACAGAGCTTCTCACTTACGGTTCCTTGTTCTTGTCTTTCTTGCCCATCTCAGAACCCCTTAAAAAACTGAGACTTGTGCTCGGCTGATAAATAATTAAATAAATAATTATAACCAATTAATATTATGGCTTGGAATTCAACGGACACTTTTCTAAATCGTATATTTCAAACTTCCTTTAAGAAATGATATATGGCTAAAGATTTGTGTGAAAATGGCTATATTTTTACCCTTACACCGTATTATAATTTCAGTAAACACATTCCAACGCAGTGATGGAGTCATTTCCGGACCCCATATTCCATATATATTATTGATCAGCATCAAACGCCCAATCGATCAAGCTATGCCCGGTTGAAAAATACATTTTTACATACATTTCAAAAAAAATGTGTTACATCGTTAAAATTGTAAAAATTCTACAACAAATTGAATTTTTTAAATTTGAAAACTCAGTATGAAGATTTGTTAGCCCTATAAAAACTAACACAGAAAAGTTTTGCGAATTAAAATTAATGAATTTTTGGCTTAGTTATGGAATTTGAAAGAACTTCGATTTACTTTCTCTTTGTTTGCAAACAACAAGGGAAAACAAATCGATATATTTAACAACCGGCAAGTGTGGAATTTCCAGTGGTTCTAACTATTTTTTATTTCGGCTGAAAGTCAGGCCTCTCTTAGGTTCAATTAAGGGTCTTTGCATGTTGTCCTGACTCATTTGCTGCGAAGTGTATTCTTTTATTGATTTTGCGGTGTGAGAGACTGGGCCATGTGATGCCACGACAACGTCATCGTCGTCCACCAAGTGATTCATTCCCACAACACCGAGCTGTACAAATTGCAGCTGCAGCTGTTGTCCGTATTCGTTTTCTTTTTTTTACGATTCCCAGACACTTGTACTGGAAATAAAATGGCAAGTGGCAAGTGGAGATGGCCGAAACCCATGCTGCGTATACTTAATGCGTGGCTATCAAACGGGGAATACTGGGGGGAAATCAATAACGATGTCCTTTCACTTACATTTCTCTGTCGTTAGTTGGTTGTTAGCTTCGAGTGACTGGACTCTGGCGATGATTAGGATGATGTATGCAGGACTGGGACCAGTAACGTCTTTCACTGGCGCAGGTCGAGGATGGCTGGCTGGATTAGATGGTGACCACTAGTGGGTGCAGCTGAACCGTGTTTCGTTGTTTTTGTTGTCTCTCAGTTGCGTTCTCTCCGTTCTGCTCTCTCTCTCACTTGCTAGCTCTTCCGCCAGAGCTTTTTGCGCCCCCGAATCGTCAATGAAAATTCACTTCGAGCACTCCACGGGGGGATTGGCTGGACCTGGATGTGTATGTGTGTATGCGCGCGTATGTGTGTGTGCGGGTAACACTTGCCACGACAGCCCTTCCGAGGAATTTTCTGGCTCTGCGCTGCTGAAACTGCTGGATAGAGTGCGAAAATAGTTGCAACTATTTTTAGTACGAGGTTAATTGCTTGCTTGTCTATTTCTTCTAATTCTAATTCCAAGGGCCGGAGCACCGCGAGACGCCCACCAAAATGGCTTCTGTCCTTTCAGTGTCACAGCCAAAAAGAGAAAGAGTCCTTGCAAATTCTTATATTTTACGTGCTGATTTGCTATTTTCAAAATAGTCTCAAGTGCCCCAAAGACTTGGCTCTCGGGGACAGTGTGGAAAAAATCAATGAAATTTTGCACGACACACAGGATTCGGTTGCATTTAGCGTGACATTTTGGTTTGAATATTCTTAGCAAAGTTTCTTTTAAACGGTTACGAACATTAGGATATCGGCATGAAGCACTCTTAAACTTGGCTTGGGCGGTAATAATTTACAGAAAATGTTGCTTAAATAATATTCTTAAAATTATTTTCACGCAGCACAGGAAAAATTTTCACTTACGACGTTTTTAGCCAACTGCGAAAACTTGCAGCTTTTCTAACTGTTATGTGTATTTGGGGAAAAAGCTTGCGCAATAACGAGCGAACGATTTGGTTTCCGGCGAGAAGCTTTTCTATGGCGATACACCAAAGTAGCGAATGGTAAGCCGCAAGTCGGGATATAAGAGAAGGCTTCAAAAGATCCTTTTTCAGAACAATATTATTTATATAATATATGAAATAAGTATAAAGAACAGCGAACTACTGTAAGATCTAGGTATTGATCTATTAAAACTTTTAACTTAAAAGTGCTGTACGACAAATTACCTCGGTGTCCTCAGGGAGCAGTAATAATAGAATTGTACTACAGGGGCTTTCGGAACTTTGTCTGAATCCAAACACGATACATTTTCAAGCCCCGACCACGATTAACCTGCAGCCGGCGGTCTACAATAAGCTGCTCCTCCTTCAGCCCAGCCTGGGTGAGCATGCTCCGCAGCTCGTCCTCAGTAAAAAAGTACACCATGGTGCCATCGCCACGCACGTAGAAGTTGTCATCCAAGCACTTTCCGCTCTTAAAACGCAGCTGAGCCAAGTCATACCGCCCGTAGTCGCGGAACAGCAGAAGACCACCGGGTCGCAGATATCGATAGCAGTTTTCCAGAACTCGCTGCATCTTCTTAGGTTCAATTGCTGACAGAACAAAGATCATCACAATGATATCCTGGGAGTTTTCCTCGAAGGGCACCTGCCACTCATCCAGAGTAGCGTCCATGACAAACACCTCGCAGCGCTTATTATCAAACTGCGGCTGACTCTGGAGGATATCCACGGCCCGGGGGGAGAAGTCGCAGCCAAAAACTTTTAGATTCGGTTCCGAGCTGTGCTGCAGCAGGGGCAGGATGGTGTTACCGACGCCACAGCCCAGCTCGAAGATGCTGCGAGGTTGCGTCGTGTCGGTTTTCTTGTCCGCTTCCAATGGAGCCAGTTCGGGAAACTCAGTGAAGAGCCAGTGGCGGTCCTTGAAAAAACGGTTGTCGTGGATGCCATAGAAGCAGTCCCAGAACTTGGGCGCATCCGATTGGAATCTATCCTTTTGCTCTTCGTCCATTTTGTTGGCCGAGTTCTTGGCTACCGCCGCCTGGGCGGCCAGTTCCTGCTCTGCGTCCCACTCAACGTGGTCCCTGCAAAACGAGAATTAGAGAAATTTCCGTGAGTATAGTACCAAGCATTACCAGGCGTTAAACTCGAACACCTCGCGCCCATCAGTGAGCAGACGGCCACCAGCCCCCGCCGGCTTCCGACGATGGCGAGTGTGCTCCCAAGTCTTGCTGGCCAATCCCCGCCAGATGTGCCATCCATATTTACCAAGCATTGTGCTTGAAGACGTCAGCGTCGTCGGTGAGCAGGCGGGTTCCAAACTGGGGACGCTTGTCGTTCTCCGTCGCGGGTGTGTCAGTCATCGCAGGGTGTTTAACCAGGTGTCTGTCCTTTTGTTGTTCCAAAATATAAGTTGTAATTTGTAAACACGCCGTCGGCTGGTCTCAAGGGAATGCAGTATTTTCGGGTTTCTGTCGTCGGGTAACACTGAATGATTAGCGGGTGCAGTGGCATCGATGTATCGATAGTACCGATAGGCACATCGATAATTTTGCAGCTCTAATTGTGTATATCAAAACCGCAAACCAGCCTTTTTGTTGTATTGTGCGTTGTTTTCTTCAATAATATTAATAATACAATTATTAATTGTATATTAGCGTCCAGCTATTGGAAGACAAGCAGCAGCAGCAGCGATCTGAAATCCCAACAGACAAAATGATGAACGAAGCTGCTCTGGCCAACATGATACCGTACGACACGATTGGGCTGTACGAGCAGCCCAAGCCGCGCTTCATCTTCAAGATGCCCCGTGTGGTGCCGGACCAGAAGTCGAAGTTTGAAAGCGACGAGTTGTTCCGCCGACTTAGCCGGGAGAGCGAGATCCGGTACACGGGCTACAGGGAACGGAGCATCGAGGAGCGGCAGGTGCGCTTCATGAACGGCTGCCGCGAGGGCCATACGGAGACCAGCTTCGTGGCCTCGGGCACCAACCTGCAGCTGGTGTTCAATGCCAATCAGAACCCGTACCTGCACGACAAGGAGTGCGATTTCGATAAGGAGCACGGCAAGGTGCACATCAAGTCCTATTTCATCATGAACGGTGTGTGCGTCCGCTTCCGCGGCTGGCTGGACCTGGAGCGTCTCGACGGCGTCGGCTGTTTGGAGTACGATGAACGGCGGGCTATGCATGAGGATGCCATCCTGCGGGACCAGATCGATCGGTATAACCAGCGATTGCGCGAGTTTGAGGACACCAAGCGCGCCTACCGGGACAATCGGCAGGACGAAATGGAGGCGGTGCGGCGAGGTGTGGCCTCCGGGGCATTGGTGTTGGAGCCAGCATGTGGCGACGTTAGTTGGACCTGTGGACGGCACCGCCGCCGTCGCACCAGCTTCAACAGCAGCCGCCGCTACCGCCACCGGCGCTGCACCAGCAGCAGCAAGAGACTCAATTCGCTAATACTCATTACTTCATGGACAACTAAGAATGCTCCGAGCCCGCTAACGGGTATCCACCATTGTGGGAGATTAGAATACGCTCGAATAAATATGCTCCTAGATTTAGTTTTAGATCTAATTAATGCTTACTTTACGTATGCTTTTACGGTATTATACTTACAAACTTAGCGTGAAATTAGTGTCGTATCTTTAACTAAAAAATACATCATTACTAATCGAGATCTTGTTTGTTGGGGGTTTTCCGCAGTGACGCAGCGCCTTGACGGCCAAAGTGGATAGACATATTTAGGAAAAAGACAGGTTCCTCTTGATTATAATATACAGATACTGAACTTTATATTTCATACATAAGCAATGATCGTGTAAAACTAAACTAAGCAGGGTCTCTCGCTCGGCGTGTGAAGAGCGTTATTTAGGCAGATGTCTCTAGCGAAATTGCAGGCTGGATATGCGCAACCCGATGCTCTCCTTGCCAATTTGGCTCACCTCACACACTGTGCACAGGTTGCCCTTGAATTGCGGGTCAAAGGAGGAGCCGCAGAAGGGACAGGTCACCTCCGGCTTTCCTCTATACAGCGGCTTCCAGCTGATGCCACAGATGGTGAACGGATTGAACTCCTCGTACTGCAGCTGGTGCTCATCCACGGGATTTACCTCGCAGGCCTGCAAGATTTTGCGCACCTGCTGTGCCACATCCGGCCGCGGTGCCAGCTCCAGAAGTCGGCGGGCAAAGGAGGCGGCTGTCTTGTAGTTCTTCAGTTTGAAGAACATATTGAGGGCTGTTCGCAGGGTAAGGATCTGGTGGACAGGTTGCAGTTTGCAGTGCGTAAAGTAGGCGGCCATTTCGCACAGCCGCTTCTGCTCCTCCAGCGTTGACTTGGGCATGCCCTTGCGCACCGTCTCCATCTTCAGGCCGACAATGTACTCGGCACAGATCCTTAGCAGCTGCTGGGCCTCTGCTGTGTCTACCTTAGTGTCGACCACGAGCAGCGGAATGCTGATGAGAATAGAGTGGAATTTCTCTACGGCCTCGGAGAACTTGCCGGAGGTTGTGAGCTGGTAGCCAGCCTGCAATCGTGCCACCAGATCGTTCAGTTTGATGCCCAGGGCCGGCCGATGCAGCTTGGCATTAGCCTCCGAGTAGTTTCGCAGAGGATAGCCATTGAGGGACTGCAGATTCGGATTGGCCGAGAAGCTGGTTCGGGAGCAAGCGTAGTTTTGCAGGAACAGCGGCTTGAAGGGCTTAAAGTTCACCACGCCCAATTGGTCGTTCAGAAGCCGGAAGGCGGTTTCAAAGGATCCGGCCTTTACGTGATCCAGCACCAGGGGCGAGTTGTTGGCCCACTGCTGTGCTGGAGAAAGTCCCTTGTTGGGGGCCGCATAATAATTGCTGTCCAAGGCGGAAGCCTTTATCTTGGAGGCCAGCTCCTCGGGCACCACCAGATCGTCGTCGCCCACATCCCAGCCGGCGCCATCCTCGCCACCAGCTCCGCCCTCGCCGTCGTTACTGAGAGCATCGTGCATCTCTCCATCCTCACCGTCCTCGTCGAGTCCCAGATCTGCATCTGCTCCCCAGCCATCTCCGCCGGCATTGTGCTCGTCCAACAAAGCAGCATCGGCGTTAATGTTCAGCGCCTGGCGAGCGGTGGCACTGGTTCCTGCTCTCGTGACCATAGCGCCCTCAAAGAAGCCCTTCGAAACTGAAAGCAGCGGCCAGTTGGTCTCCAGCTGCTGAATGGGCACCGGAGGCTGTAGTAGCTGGGCATTGGGATTCACCTCTGGCAGAGTGTTGCCCTGTGAGGTGATCGACTCGCCCAGGGATTCGGTTAGCTCTTGGAAGCCATGGGTTGCTGCCGTGAGATAGGCCAGCGAGTGCTGTCCGCAATTCTTGAGAATGCTGACTCTTTCCTTAACGTCGCCCAGTAGCAAGGCGCCCTGGTACTGGGCGGACACATCCTTGCGAATTTCGGCAATCTTGTTCATCTTCTTCAGCTTCTCCAGGTTGCCTGTGATCAGATAGAGGAAGCTCAGCTTGTCAAAGTTCTTGGTGCGCTGGTAGCACATCTCCACCACTTGATGGTTGCCCTGAAGCAGGGCACTCTGGCCCAGACGGTCCCAACAGTCCTTGTCGTCCAATGCCTTAGCTGCCTCCAGAGCGATCTCGATGTTGCCGCACTCTAGGGCCAGTCCGAAGCGCGTCTTCTCGTCCTTGACAAAGTGCAGGGCCACCTCTGGATAGCCCTTCTGCTGCAGGTAGGCAATGATGCTCTGTCCCACCAAACGGGCGTTTCTAACCATGTGCAGTACCTCGTCGTACTTGCGCTGGATCAGTGCCAGCTTGAACTTGTACTCCGTGGGGTCGATGTGGAGAACGCGGGTGCGGCACTCGCGATCCAAGCAGAACACCTGATTACCCTTGACGCGCGTAAGGTAAATGGGCAGATCCAGGGTACGGATGATGCCGTGGTCGCCGTTAGTGATGGCGTATTTAATGTGGTTGCTAGTCGTATAGATGAACACGCCGGACTCGTCCCAGGCGCCGGACTTCACACGACAGTTCTCCTGCACCGTGCACAGGTACTGAAGTCTCCGGTCGCATATGGTAACCGAATGCTTGCAGAGCAGCGCCACCAGGGACATGTCTGAAGACCACACCACGTAGCGGCATTTGGCCAGCTTGATGCTGCCCACGGAGACGAGCCGTTGGACCTCGTACAGGGTGACAAATTCGGGATCGCGGATGAGAAGCATGCCGGTGCCGGCGTAGAATATCTCCTCACAAAACGTGGGCAGCTTCTTGGTCACCTCGTTCTTAAAGTTCTTGATCACCAGTTGCTGGTTGCGGTCCAACACCGCGAATCGGTTGCGTGCCACCCAAATGGCTGTGATGCCGGAGCTGCGCTTGCTGTCCGACTCACTCTGGCTCTCCGTGTCCTTGGGTATCTGGCACAAGTCATACGTGCTGTTCTCCAGGTTGTTTGTTCGCGTGCAGATGAGCACAGCATTCAGAGCCGGATTGTACGACATGCTGTAAACAGGCGATTTGCCTGGACGTAGCTGCATCACCACCGTGTCCTTGGTGGTGGTGAAATCCAGCTTGCGCAGGAAGCGTTCCTTCACATAGTAGAGCATGTTGCCGTGTACGGCGTAGGCGGGACGTTCACGCTCCAACTTAAAGACCACCATTCCTGGGAGGGAAATAGAAAATATTAATATTAAATACACAACTTTCCAAAGGATCTGCAACAGAAACTCACCTCCATCGTGTCCGGCCGCAAATAAATTCAGTGTGGGATGCGCTGTGAGGATCCAGAAGCGTTCATTGTCCCGCCGGAATGTAAACAAGCACTGGCGCTTGGTCATGTCCCAGACGCGAATGCTGCGATCCTCTCCGTTCGACAAGATTAGATCCTGACGCGGATGGAACAGCACGCTGGACACGTTGTTGTAGTGGCCGCGACAGGTGTCTACCTCCCAAGCCTTGTACTCATTCATGCGCCACAGCTTCACCAACCTATCGTCGGCTCCGGACACAATCAGCGGCAATGTCGGATGGAAGCTGGCCCAGTTAACGCCGCGATCGTGACCCTCGAGCACATGCTTGACCACAGCATCTGCCTGTCCAAAGAGATCCGTGGCGCCCGGATGACCCTTCAAGTGATCATCGAGGCCACCGGGGCCGGGTGCCACGTTCTTCTTGCGCAGTCCTGAGATGTCCCATACGCGCACAGTCTGATCAAGCGAAGCGGAAACGATCTGGTCCTCCGTAGGATGGAACTGGGCGCACATCACATAGTGGTTGTGGCCCGTCAGCACACAGATGCAGTTACGAGACTGCCAGTTCCATATGCGGATCGTTTGATCATCGGAGGCGCTCAATATCCACGGATATTCGTGGTGGAATGCCACCGTGCGAACGTAGTCCAAGTGGGCCAGTAGCGTGAAGATGCAACGACGTTGCTTGTAGTTCCACACCTTGATCTTGTAGTCGTCGCCGCCGGAGACAAACAGCGGCATCTGCTGATGAAAGGCCACGCCGCGCACTGGTCCATCATGCTCATCGAACTTTTCGAGGAGCGTGTGCATCCGGTAGTCCCACAGTTGGATAACGCCGCTGTGTAGACTGACCAAAATCCAGGGCCGCTTTGGATGGAACGAAAGTCCCTTTACCCGCGCCGACTTTGACTCGAAGTTCGTCAGCATGTTGAGGCTTTTATTTTTCACAATTTCCTGCCTGCGTTCACTTGCTTGTGGGTGTCGGCTTTTCTTTCAGGTGCCCGCTTTCTGGTGGGTTGGGCACGCGCCTGTATCAAAACATGTGAGAAAGATGGAAACTGTTATTGCCCAGTCAATGGATACTAAAAAGTACACGTAGCCGTGGCTTATTTTAAATTTTTAGAAGAAACACCAACCAAATTGTGAAAATTGTGACACGTCAATTATCTTCTTCTTCTCGCTGAACACGCAAGCAGAGTTGCCATCTGGTGGCACAGGCCCATTAACAGCTGTTCTACACTGACTGCCATTAAAAGGCACACATTTCCAAAGCTTAACAGTTATACAATATTCTTACGATATGGAGATCTCAAGAGTTATGATTAAAAATGAATAAAATTATTTAAATTTATTGGGATAGTATTTTATTTTGCATTATTCTTACCATATTAGTCCAGAAAACGTATTTACTTTCCAGCTCTCTTTTAGTAGTCACTGTGCGGTGAGTTGTTTTCCCACACTGGCGCAAATTCGGTCTCGCGTTTGTTTATTTTTTGGTCTGCGATGGAAAAGTGATAAACAATAGGCAGACGAAATGACTCTGGCACACCGAGCGCTCTTCACATGGTTCATAGTTCTGGTCTTCTTCATACTGCTGTGCCTGCGCCTGGAGCCGCGCACGAACTGGAATTGGTTCGTCACCTTTACACCGCTCTGGATCTTCGACGTTATAATCATCATCTACGTGATCATCAAGTTTATAAGGAAGTGGCGCAACCTAAATCGCCTCACGGACCTCCTATTCCTCTACAAATGGAACATTGCCGGCGTGCTTCTCACTATCGCCTCCCAGGTCATGATTTGTCTGCGACTGGAGTATCCTCATCAAATCCCCATCTATGTGACCATAGCTCCGCTGATCCTTCTACTCAGCACCGCCATATTCTACGTGGGCAGCCACCTGGGAAAGCGCGAGGGCTGGTTGCAGTGAACGGCAGATAATAAGTCTAGTATAGAATTAGGATTAGGTGTATATTGTAGGGTTAAGAGGCGTAAATAAAATGAAAATGGAAATTCAGAAGCCATATTTGCTCTGAGTTGCTCGTCGTGTCTGCCTGTTGGCCGACCACATGGCCTGCAGCTCAGCCTCGTTGGCCTTGGCCTTGTGTGCCAGGTAGGTGATCTGGTGCTTGCGCCTCGTGCCAGCTACCGGCTCCTCGTCCGTCAACACTCCGGTGGGCTGGAAGGTCGTGGACGAAGCCAGAGCCGATCGCATCCATTCTTCCCGATCGGGCAGGACCTGCGATCCAGAGATGTCGATCACCTGCATTTCCTTGGCCTCCTTTCGGCGCCGTTTGGCATTTTTGCCTACCAGTGCGTCCATGGCCTCGGCGTTTAGTTGTTGCTCGTGGTAACGTTTTTGTGCCTGCTGCACTTGCTCCTCCTCGAGGCGAGCGGCCTCTGCTACGGCCGCTTCCCTTTCTGCGATTTCCTCGAGGTATTTGCTGCTGGCCTCCACCATTTTGGCTGCACGTTTGGCCACCAACGCGCTGATCTCATTGCTGCTTACCTCTGGCAGCTTGTGTTCGGCGTTGAGGGAGAAGAAGTCACCAGAAGTGCCTTCATCTTCATCCTCCTCACTGTCGCTGGCTTCCACTAGCTTGGCCGCAGGCTTGGATTGGGTGGTCTTAGAGCTATCCTTTCCTTCGGTAACCTTCTTGTGGCCAGAAGCCTTAAGGCCATCCACTCCTTCAGTGTTGTGTGCTGCTCGCCGCTGCTTCACTGTATCGGGTACAAAAGCGGGCTGGGTTCTTGCTGGATTACTTGATTCAGGTTTTGGAGCAGGCGTGGTGCTTATTCTTGGGTTGCCAACAGCTGCTTCCGATGAGGATGTCTTGGCGAAATTCCGCTCTGACTTGGCTTGGGGGAGCATACTCAGCAATCCGGATCCCTTGGGCGCAATGGGCTTGTCCACCTTGTTCTTGGCCTTGTCCGCTTTCTCCTGGTCGACATCGGAAAAGTCTCTCAGCGATGGTATGCTGATCTTGACGCGTCCCTTAACCGGCGGTGGTGGTGGTTTCTCTATTTGAACAGGCAGCGCTTTTTTGTGTAGGAACTCATCATCCTTTTCTTCTATGATTGCCTTGGCGGCGGCGGCTGTTGTGCGTGGCATTGGTAGTTTGGCAAAGGCGGGGGCCATCAGCTCCTCCACATCTTCGCCTCTTGTCTCCTCCTTAGATAATGCAGCTGCCTTAGGCTTGGGCAAGGCTAGAGTAAGTCTACCGGTGGGCTTCAACTCCTGCAAGGACACTTCTTGGGGCATAAAATCGTCATCCTCGTCGCTGATGTGACCATTGACTGATTGTCCTGTGCTGGGCTTGTCCTGGGGCCTAATCACCTCCACCTGTAGCCTTGAGCTCTCTTCCTCCTCCTCGTTCTCGGAGTCTTCGTCAGAACTGGCAGCATAAGCGACGAGTGACATCTTTATTACAAAAAATATTAGAAATTGGTAAATAAAACAATTCGCCTCAGCTGTTTAGTATGTCTAGCGTTGCCACCTTTTTAATAAGTTCTATGTTAGCCATTTTTATTTACTATACTGCACCACTAGGCAACACTGTTAAAACGAACTTTTCAAATTTAAACTAGTTCTTCATTTAAAATAAACAAATATATTACACATATGTATTTGTCTACCTGTTGACCAATAAATAAAGATCCAATATATCTTGTACGCTCCAGGATTATTAAACTTTAAACCTTAAAAAGGTGGTGATAATAAAGCTATTACCTGTGCCCAGGTGGCATTAGATTAGAGGAAAATAACACCATATGTCACAAAAGGGATCAGAAAATCGTACCGTTATAGTTTAGGTAACCCTATCTTTAATCCTGAGACTACCTGTTCCCTTTTCGTATTCGATATAAATAAGGGGACATTCTCGATCAGAAATCAGTCAACACATTCCCTTCAGAGAACTCAGGTTAAGCCCAAGTGACAGCTATGCATCATCACCAAAATCTCGGAGAAGCTGCCGCAGCACTTTCGGGGATGATTCCTCCTCCCTACGAAGCCATGGCCATGTACGAGCAGCCCAAGCCGCGATTCATCTTCAAAATGCCCCGCGTAGTGCCCGACCAGAGGTCGAAGTTCGACAGCGACGAACTCTTCCGTCGTCTCAGCCGTGAAAGTGAGGTCCGGTACACAGGATATCGGGAACGGGCTGCCGAGGAGCGCCGGATGCGGTTCGTGAACGACTGCCGCAAGGGCTACGCGGAGATTTCCTTTGTAGCATCCGGCACCAATCTGCAGCTGTATTTCAACGCGAACCACAATCCGTACGCCCAGGAGCAGGAGTGTGACTTTGAGCGGGAGCGGGGCAAGGTCCATTTACGGTCCAACTTCATCATGAACGGCGTGTGCGTCCGTTTCCGTGGCTGGGTGGACCTGGATCGCTTGGATGGAGTGGCCAGTCTGGAGTACGATGAGCCACGGGCCCAGCAGGAAGACGCCCAGCTTCAGGAGCAGATTCAAAGCTACAATCTGAGGATGGCCGAGTCCAAAAGGATTTACCATACACCACAAACATCGCCCGAGGATCATCCTCATCGCAGGGGAGGACCTGGGATGCCAGGAGGGCCTATGGGTTGGTAGGGTGATCTAAAACGGGCCATTAACTTAAGTATAATCGTTTGACGACTGATTCTAGCCTTGCAGGGTATCATAATTTTAGTCAGAAGCTTATAACACCATTAAGAAATCATTTCCGACCCTAAATACAATATATATTATTGATCAGCATCGACTGGCGAGTTAATCTTGCCATGTCCGGTTAATTTTTAAAGTTGGAAAACTAAGTATGCAGATTTGTAAGCGCTATAAAAACGAATACAGAAAAGCTTTCCGGATAAGTGCACTTTTAGCTTATTTATAAGTATTTTAAGATTTAATATATTTACAAAAATAATCATATAACTTAATAAAGTAAAATAAAGGAAATATTTCCGGAATTCTTAAAGGCATAAGATGGCAAAAAAGCAAAGGTCGTGTATTTTATGATTCGCCAACAAAATCTTAATAATTAAAAATAAAATAAATTGAAATTTTATTACATTTTTTTTTTTAATTTTATAAAAATCCATCCTACTATATAATTTTAGATTGAAAGACTGAATAACTTTTACTTAAAAGTACTGGTTTTAAAGTCAGTGTTTTAAAAATTACATTTGAAGCTGATCTTTTGATGTGAAATACTGACAGACCTAAATATTTTTAAAATCCTATAATAAATACTTAGTAACCCCCATAATAATAATAATAATCTTTCAATGTATGTTACACTGATGAAGCATTCTAATGAGTCTCAAAACTAGTCATTTGGGGCAGATATTGTCCAGATATTTGGCGAGGAACCACTCGTATTCTTTAACGATTGTTTATCTGGGGCTCCTTAAGGGTGGCTCACCGGGGTCTATGGCCTTAATTGCGCCAGTTTCGGTTTCGGAACAACCACCAACCCAACACCACCCGAGGAAGAGTCCGGTCTCGGTCTCGGTCCAGCTGCCAGTTGTGCTCTACGGGGTGGGAATCCTCTCCTTGCACACACATACATCTCAGAGAGTGTAGAGCAGGCAGTACCGGGCCTGTGAGAGCACATATTGATTTTCCGTCGTGGGGATGCTGCTGCTGCCGAAATAAACTTTGCAACTGGTCCGAAAATCAGTCTCTTTCCGAACGCGAAACTGAAAGCGGAAAAGCGAAAAAGCGGTAGACTGAACATGAAGTGAACGATAAATAGAAAGGGAACGAACGGACGCCGCCGAATAAGAATTCATAAAATTATACATACCGCCAGCGGGGCACGATTTGCCAAACATTCGGATTGTGTGCTTGAATTTGTTGCTTTGGCCGCCGCGTACTTTTCCGCACGGAAAGCTGGCGAGATTTGTCTAAAATTAGCGACCGGTGTGTTATTGTAGGGTGTCCGTATAGGTTGTATAGAAGGCGGAGTAGGAGGTCCGATCCCGAGAGTGTTTACCCCATAAATTGGAATCCGCTAAGATGCCCTCACCCGCATCCAATACGATTGTGCTGAAGAGCCTCTCCGTGCTCTTAGGCCTATTCTTCATCTTTGTGGGCACTTTGAAGCTGACGCCGCACATTAGCAAGGACCTTTACAAGGATCTGGTAAGTGCGTCGGAAAATCGATACAGTTCGGGAGTTTTGCTCGGCCTGGTGGGCGGGTGCAAAGCCTATCGATTTTTCCAAGTTACTGCCAAAGTTTGGGCTCAGGACAATGCAATCTCCACTTTCGAATGGAAAATCTCTTATGTAAATAGGCCTGCACTATTTTCCATGTGGAAGAAAAGCCTCTCGTTAATATGACTGACTAATTGGGCATTGAACTCGACCCCATCAATGCCAATCGCTGACATTCGGACGCTGAGGAGAGCCTCCGCTATGATCTTCAGATATATTTTAGGAAAATTATATATTTTAATAGGCGAAACGGCTGCCTCTTGGCGGCTTTTGTCAAAGAAACAACCATAAATCCAATTAGAGAGATTTCGGAAAAAGATTTGACATATATTTGGAATTATATTGCTCAAAAATATTGTTTTCTAAGAAATCCATATATAAATATATTTGGTCTACTTTAAAAAACCTCAGGAAGTTGAAAAAAAATTAATAATCATTTTGGGTTGAAAATTGTATTCGAGAGCCGATAAACAAACTAGAAAAGGCGAAAGATTTATAGAACAGCTGTTAGTTTAAAATTTCTTGTTTACGTTTTGTAAAAACAACGGCCAAAAGTTTTCGATTTCATTACCAAATAAATATTTTGCATTCCTGTTCAAATACTAGACCTAACACAAAATGCAACATGACGTATCACTCGGCTATTATTTATAAACAATAGGGTGAATCGGCTTTTATTTATAAACAATAGGGTGAGTCGTTTGCACTAAACAATTCCGTTTTATTTTTCTATATGTATATTTTGGACTCTATATTAAGTCGATTTTTTCAAATTTGCAATGCATTCGTTACGCGCCATTTTACTCTCATTTATCATGTTTTTTTTTTTCAATCTCTATTTTGCGCCTCAAGGTATGGCATTTTAATTTCGAAATATTTGTTTTGTTTGTGGCTCCTCAGACCCAACGGTGTAATTACCGCCAAACACTTGGGGCCACTGGTGCCAACAGAAAGCACAGAAAACCACACATACGACGAATTCTGACAAAAAGAAAAGCTAGTGTTCATTTAAAAATAAATGGGCTGCACTGCCTTCCTCTGGTCGGAGCAAATGGCTCTCCTGGGGGGGGGTCTCGTTTCTGGGCATGATTAATTATAACATATTTGATTTGCTCCCAATCCACAAATTGCAGCGCACAGAGTACGTGAAGTATGCCAAAGTATTCCCGCTGACCGCCCTCTTCGGAGTGAAGATCCCCTCGAAATGGTATCGCCGCACCGTTGGCATTCTGGAGATCGTATGCGGACTGGCTATGGCACTGATTCCCTACCGTAAGTGAAGTTAAATATAGCCTCAAGGTGTTTAATTAACTTAAAGTATTGATATTTACCCACAGACAAGGTGAAGAATGCGGCAAATGTGACGCTGCTGGTGCTGATGCTGCTGGGCATCTACCAGCACTGGATGGTCAGCGATCCCTTCGAGCGCTCCGGACCAGCGCTCGTGTTTACCTTCATGTTGGGCGGCCGGTTGGTGGTTTGGTATCAGACTGCCCGCCTACAGGACGAAGCTGCTGCGACCACCCAGCCGCCGGCGAATGGCGTCAAACAGGATTAAACGAAAGCTGCTTCGCTTCCTGGAAAATCACACCATATTCATAGTCATTCACTGATCCAGCTTTGTTTTAGCACCTTGAGTTGGGTTCGAAAGCGAACTGCGGGTCACTAATCATCACGAACAAATACACCACACACCAAATCACTACATTCATTCTAGCAAATCGAAATTCATGTTTTTCACTTTGGTGCCAAAAAATTTATCGTATAATGAAACCTATAATATAACGTATGTAACAGCTAGAAATATTAGCTAAACAGTAGAGAGCCACGGCGGAAAGACAAGACCAGAGAAACAAAAACAAACAAAACGTGTAATCAAATCCTCTTCGTACCGGGCAACCATCTAAATTACGACTTTTAGAAACAATTTTAATAAATTTGAAGAACTCATACATACATTTAAAGTTAATTATCCAACGTCAGTTCGATTTGATTGCGTGTAATAAGCGGGAGATTATTGGGCATACACTGGTGCTATGTAAGCTATAACCGTGCTTGGGTTAGTTTTTATAGACTACATGCATGTATATATGCTCCTATTCGGAGCCAGTGCTAAGCAGCTTGAGCGCCTTTTGGAGGTTTTCTATAGCGGTTTTCACATCGTCGTAGTTGAGGGCACTGCCGGCATACTTGCAATACTTCTGGGCGGTTATCATTTGGTCCGGAGTGATTTGCACCCCGGCCACGGGCACAATGGGCTGATAAATGGTGGCCGCCGTAGCTGGATGCGGCTGACCTGTCGGCACATACGGCTCAAAGCCGCCTGGCTTTTCTTCATCCTCCGGCGGACTGGGCAATTTGTTCGGATTGTTCAGAACCTCCTCGGCAGTGGGAGGCGTGACATTCGAGGGCGGCGAAGATGGTGCCTCTGGCTGGAAGGGGGGTGGGGCAGCCGCTCCGGCTGCATCCTCGGGTGAGGCATCCGCCGAGGCATTAGCATTTTCCTCCCCCTCGAGTTCCGTCTCATCGTCGTCGGGAAGAGGTCCGGGAATGGGCGTCTCGCCGTTCTTCAAACAGTTGTGGATGTAGGCGGCCTTCCACTTAGCATATTTCCTGTTGTGCAGTGCCTCCTCACTCAGCTCACCGAAGGTCTGGAGTATATCGTAGAGCACTCCGCTGGAATAGAAGGCCTTGACCACGTTTCTGGGAAATACAAGAAAAGAAATGAATGAGGTAGAAAGCTTAAAGACATAAGACTTATAGGTATTCAAGAAATCTCCTGAAAAGGTTTTAGATATTTTATTGCATACAAAACTCGAGTATTTCTGAACCCGACGTGACTTACTTGCCAAAATTCTCCTCGCGATCCTGCTTATCGGCGTACAAGAAGAGCTTCAAGGCATAGTTCTCAATGTGAGCCTGAGCAGCCACCTCGTTTGTCACCGCTTCGTTATCCGCATGCTGCTTCTTCACCTGCTCCAGCCAGTCCATAATGGCTGCGATGCAAGGGGGGAAACCGAAACCAAAACAAAACACAGATGAGTCATGGGCAATCAAAATGCGTATTTCAATTTTCGCTTACACAGCAGCAGTTTGGTCTCCTCGCCCGTCTGGGTGGACGCTTTCAGTCCCACCTGCAGAGCACTGTACCAGGGAACACCAAGAGATTAGTAAGTGCATCTTTATAAAACCTTAAAACAAAATACTCACTAGAGTCTGGCCCAGTAGGCGATGACCAAATCTCTTGTGTCATGCTCTTGGGCCAGCTTCAGGAAGTGCTGGATGGACTTCAGCGAGGGTGGACAGGGCGGAAACTCCATTGTGGCTGAAAGGAGCTTCGGGTCTTATGATTTTGTATCTTTGCTGGAATAATAACGAATACTGTGCCGAAACTAATTGATGACGGCTCTTGCAATGTGGCCAGCGCTGCAACTTATCGATAGTCCACGAACAAAGTGACCAGATGTTCGTCTGCCAGCGATAGTTAGAACCATAAACCAAAAACAAAACTAAAGTTTATAACTCCTTTCAACAAGTGTCGGTATCTGCACTTGCTCATTTGATAATCTGCGGCCAAGACGTTAGGACACCTCAGGTAAATATTCAAGCGTTTCGCCTGGGTGTGCCTTGGCGCCGCTATCAGTTGCACTTTGCACTTTAACCTGCATCTCGCGCTCTTTCAGTTACCGCAGTTCAACATGGTTCTCTCCAAGCCCCTGTACTCGCTCTTCGGCACTTATCTGGAGCAGCTCTTCAACCACCCGGTCCGCACCAAGTCCATCACGGCGTGAGTACTTTATACCATTATCGCTCCGCAATTTAAACCGTCTTCCGATCCAATGTAGATGCGTTCTGGCCACCTCTGCGAATGTGACCTCTCAACGTTTGGCGGGCGCCAAGACGTTGAACCAGCAGAGCGCTTTTGCCTACGGACTGTTCGGTTTGATCTTCGGAGGCAGTGTACCGCACTACTTCTACACAACGGTGGAGCGGCTCTTCAATCATGATGTTCGATTCAGACGGTTCTTCCTGTTCTTGTCCGAGCGACTGGTCTATGCTCCGATCTACCAGGCACTCTCGCTGTTCTTCTTGGCCCTGTTTGAGGTAAGAGCCGCCTATTTGTCTGTTGAATCTCTAAATTAAGATTAAGAAATTATTATGAGAGGCATCTTTGGAAAACATCCCTTACTTCTTTTGATAACCAATGTGATTTATTCCAGGGCAAATCCCCTAGCACCGCTCTGCAGAACGTGGAGAAGTTGTATTGGCCCCTGCTGAAGGCCAACTGGCAGTACTTGTCGGTGTTTGTGTATCTGAACTTTGCATACGTGCCCCCGATGTTCCGATCGATCAGCATGGCTATCATCTCCTTCATCTGGGTGGTATACATCGCTCAAAAGCGACGTCGCTTCCAGGATAAGCTGGCCGCTGAGAAGAAGGCCACCAAATAAGCGCATTCCGTCACCAAGACTTTATACGTGGTGTAGTCTAATTCCTATTGCTCTGTAGATTACGGTCAGGGCCTGCTGCCTGAGGTTCCTAATCTCTTATTGCGAAAATTCTGTGAGGGTGTGTGAGGACTAAGATAAGCTAAAACTAAATGCAGATTGCTCAATTTTTATACCTTAATATTTTTTGTAATCTTTTTCATAATAAAAATAAACATAAATAAAATAAACTATGAAAAACATAAGTTTTGCATTTTGCAATAATATTATTCAATTGAATTGAAAGTCGATCGTTACAATTCCAAAATATTAATTTCAGTTGAGAAAGCTGTTTTATACAAGTTTTTGTTATGGTTATAAGACTGCATAATAAATTGAACAGTTTTAAAAGTTTTAATTCTTTGAGAAGTTTAATGAATTTGATTCTTTTTAATTGGATAATTGGATTTTAAACAATGCCCAATATGTTATTTAAATTTATTTATGATTTTAATTTCAGTAAATAACTATGAGCAGTAAGTATCTATGAGCAGTAAGAATCTATGAACAGTAATTAACTCTGAACAGTAAGTAACTATGATCAGTAAGTTTCAATGAACAGTAAGTAACTTTGACCAGTAAGTATCTATAACCAGTAAGTATCTATGATCAGGTACTAACTTTGAACACTAATAAACAATGACTTGCAACTTTTGTAACACAACACATATCTGAGACGTGGCCGGCAGCAGTCACTTCGTTCCGGAGATGTTAGAACCAGTTGAGAATCATATGTACAGATGTGCGAAATTTGCTTTGGAGCAAATTTAAGGTATTTGAATGAAAGTATGTAGTTATTCTTCTATGTAATATTACTAGTATATAAGTCGGAGCATGCCGAATCGGTGGACTATATATATATATATATTTATAAATCTGAACAATCGGACGATTAATAGAACTATGAGCAGTAAGTAACTCTGAACAGTAAGTATCTATGAGCAGTAAGTAACTCTAAACAGTAAGTATCTATGAGCAGTAAGTAACTCTGAACAGTAAGTATCTATGACTAGTAAGTATCTATAACCAGTAAGTATGTATGATCAGTTACTAACTTTGAACACTAATAAACAATGACTTGCAACTTTTGTAACACAACACATATCTGAGACGTGGCCGGCAGCAGTCACTTCGTTCCGGGGATGTTAGAACCATTTGAGAATCATATGTACAGATGTGCGAGATTTGTTTTGGAGCAAATTTAAGCTATTTGAATGAAAGTATGTAGTTATTCTTCTATGTAATATTACTAGTATATAAGTCGGAGCATGCCGAATCGGTGAACTATATATATATATATTTATAAATCTGAACAATCGGACGATTAATAGAACTATGATCAGTAAGGAACTCTGAACAGTAAGTATCTATGAGCAGTAAGTAACTCTAAACAGTAAGTATCTATGAGGAGTAAGTAACTCTGAACAGTAAGTATCTATGAGGAGTAAGTAACTCTGAACAGTAAGTATCTATGAGGAGTAAGTAACTCTGAACAGTAAGTATCTATGACCAGTAAGTATCTATAACCAGTAAGTATGTATGATCAGTTACTAACTTTGAACACTAATAAACAATGACTTGCAACTTTTGTAACACAACACATATCTGAGACGTGGCCGGCAGCAGTCACTTCGTTCCGGGGATGTTAGAACCATTTGAGAATCATATGTACAGATGTGCGAGATTTGTTTTGGAGCAAATTTAAGCTATTTGAATGAAAGTATGTAGTTATTCTTCTATGTAATATTACTAGTATATAAGTCGGAGCATGCCGAATCGGTGAACTATATATATATATATTTATAAATCTGAACAATCGGACGATTAATAGAACTATGATCAGTAAGGAACTCTGAACAGTAAGTATCTATGAGCAGTAAGTAACTCTAAACAGTAAGTATCTATGAGGAGTAAGTAACTCTGAACAGTAAGTATCTATGAGGAGTAAGTAACTCTGAACAGTAAGTATCTATGAGGAGTAAGTAACTCTGAACAGTAAGTATCTATGACCAGTAAGTATCTATAACCAGTAAGTATGTATGATCAGTTACTAACTTTGAACACTAATAAACAATGACTTGCAACTTTTGTAACAACACATATCTGAGACGTGGCCGGCAGCAGTCACTTCGTTCCGGGGATGTTAGAACCATTTGAGAATCATATGTACAGATGTGCGAGATTTGTTTTGGAGCAAATTTAAGCTATTTGAATGAAAGTATGTAGTTATTCTTCTATGTAATATTACTAGTATATAAGTCGGAGCATGCCGAATCGGTGAACTATATATATATATATTTATAAATCTGAACAATCGGACGATTAATAGAACTATGATCAGTAAGGAACTCTGAACAGTAAGTATCTATGAGCAGTAAGTAACTCTAAACAGTAAGTATCTATGAGGAGTAAGTAACTCTGAACAGTAAGTATCTATGAGGAGTAAGTAACTCTGAACAGTAAGTATCTATGACCAGTAAGTATCTATAACCAGTAAGTATGTATGATCAGTTACTAACTTTGAACACTAATAAACAATGACTTGCAACTTTTGTAACACAACACATATCTGAGACGTGGCCGGCAGCAGTCACTTCGTTCCGGGGATGTTAGAACCATTTGAGAATCATATGTACAGATGTGTGAGATTTGTTTTGGAGCAAATTTAAGCTATTTGAATGAAAGTATGTAGTTATTCTTCTATGTAATATTACTAGTATATAAGTCGAAGCATGCCGAATCGGTGGACTATATATATATATATATATTTATAAATCTGAACAATCGGACGATTAATAGAACTATGAGCAGTAAGTAACTCTGAACAGTAAGTATCTATGAGCAGTAAGTAACTCTAAACAGTAAGTATCTATGAGGAGTAAGTAACTCTGAACAGTAAGTATCTATGAGGAGTAAGTAACTCTGAACAATAAGTATCTATGACCAGTAAGTATCTATAACCAGTAAGTATGTATGATCAGTTACTAACTTTGAACACTAATAAACAATGACTTGCAACTTTTGTAACACAACACATATCTGAGACGTGGCCGGCAGCAGTCACTTCGTTCCGGGGATGTTAGAACCAGTTGAGAATCATATGTGCAGATGTGCGAGATTTGTCCTGGAACAAATCTAAGCTTTTGAATGAAACTATAAAATTATTCTTCTATATAATTTTACTAGTATATAAGTCGGGGCACGGAAAATCGGTGGACTATATATATACATATATATAGCTGCCATAGGAACGATCGGAAAATTTTAAGAAAAAATGTTTTAACTTTTCCAGTTTTCAACAGATTTCATTAAATTTGATATATAGCCAATATATAGTAGTCTAAAATTTTGTGTCAGATTTTAAGAGAAGCGGACCATTCAAACGATCGTTAAAAATATATAAAAATTGAAAACTGTGAATGTAAATTTGTTAAGACTAATCACTGCTTTAAAATACCATACCTTTTTCAAAAAATTATTAAATTCAAATTGGAAAGCGTTTCTATTCAAGTTTTTATAAGCTTAAAAAATCAACATATTGAGATTTTTAATATATATACCAAAAAAATTACTCATTTGCTTGTTCAACCCGTATAGACGATAGACCAAAATCTAAATGGTCTTAGGCATTAATTCCCTCCTTAAAAAGAGAGCAAACTTTTCGAGATGGGCAACAAACAATACGTGTATTTAGTTTAAAAACGCAGATTATAACTAGCAAATAATCGAGAGCAAAGGCTTACGAACGAGTATTGGCTGAATATCGTGACTATATAATAATTTTGCTATTTAATTCAGGGACCTAACTTAAGGCTATTGAATGTTGATGTAAAACAAGTTCAATGCGTGGATAACAACTATCTTAGGACTAGAAGTGACTAGGATGAGAGTGATGGGTGGAGCTTCCCCTGTCTCAGGACTCGCCGCACATTTTGCGCAGCGATGCGGTTAACACTCAGAAGGCGGCCATCGACGGACTTCGGCTGCTCCGCAAGGGCGTAAGAAGAGGCGTAGCCGGACTGCTGGCGCGGCTGAAGCAGCTAGAACAGCAACTGGACGCTACCTCCTCCGCTGCCTCGCCCTCGGCCGTGGGTGTTTTGTGGTGATACGGAATCGGACGCTTTCGGGCACTGCAAAGGGAATATTATATTAGTTATTTACTCTTTCTTTAAATTAAATATGTTTTATACAAATTCTTCAATTCAACTCACCAACTGAAAATCGTAAGAGAACATAAAAATGTTGACTACAAATCAAACAAAGGAAACAAGGAAGTCCTATCTAAAACCATAAAGAGTCGGGTAAAGTGACAAATGTTTATTGGCGCCTTCGCTAAATTACGAAAAAATAAAATAGAATACAATTTACGAGCAATAAAACTGAAAAATCATTAAACAATTTAAGGTCAAATCATAAGTATTTCCTGAGTATGAAGCTGAAAAAAAGAAAATCATTTAAAGGACATCGGGCATTAAGTGCTGTATAAATAAAGTGTGTAAAATCAATGCAAACTCAAGCGTCTATAGTGGGATAATTTCGGCCAGCTAGCTTAGTGTCTAGAGCTTCGCGGCGGTCGACGGCTACATAATTAAGGAAATAAAAAGTAAATAAAATTTATTAATGTAGAAATCAAGAGTAAAGAACAGAGGGTGGTTAAGGATTCCCTCCCATCTAGCTACCTCGTTATGCGACGTCTGTCCAGAAAGCTTGGAGAGCCGCGACGCCTTGGTATGGATGGGGAACGAGAGCCCGACTGCGATGATCCCGAACCACTGCCGCCGGAGGAGGAGCTGCCTGTGCTGCTATGTGATGAGCAGCTAGAGCGGGAGGAGTGCGAGCCAGAGCGGGATCGGGAGCTGCGGGAACCGCTGCGACTACTCGAAGAACTGTAGCGTCTGTGGACCAAGACATACAAAAAAGTGAGTATAGGAAGATAATATGTGGTCAAGAACGGCCGAAATGATCGATATGTAAAATTTGACGTCGAAGGTCGATTTCTATATATCAAACATTATTATATTTTCGATAACTTACGATCTAGAGCGACTGCTGGAGTGATGTCGGTGATGGCTACCGCTGGTACGTCGCTTGCTGCGACTCCGGCTCCGACGCTCACGGCTTCGGCTCCTGCGCGCCGCACTCTCCGCTGCGGCCACCGTGGCAGTCGATACCTTGGAGACGATGGCGTCCACCAGCGAACTGTCCGCCAGCGCTGCGACTAGGGGCTGTGGATCGTGAATTTTGAAGGGTTTTATAACGATTTTCGGTTTCTGTTGGTGTTGATGATGATGATGATGGTGGTAGCTTATACTATTGGCAGCCACGGCCGCCGCCGCTGCCGCAGCACTGAAACTAATAGCACCACCGGCGCCACCAGCACCGCGGCCGTGAGGCGGAAGCCCCAGCAGCGGAGGGCCCGGCCCGCCCATGCCCGTTAGCGAGAGGAGACCGGGGTGACGCGGTGCGTTCCCGAAGAGCGACGAATTGTAGACTAAACCACGGGCCAAATGGTGCGCCTGCTGCTGCTGCAAGCTCTGCTGATGATTTTTGCAGATGTTGTAGTGGGTGGCGGTCAGTAGGGGGCCGTGGTTCAGGCGATTCGTGGTGCGGTTGTAGGTACCCGGTGTGCCCGCTAGAAAGGGCAGCATGGGCGGGTTGCTGCTGCTGCTATTGCCGCCGCCCCCGCTGCTGTTGCTGTGGTTGGGATTCGAATGAGGGACACCGCCACCAGCGCATGCATGAGGATTGTTAGTACTATGTCTACTGTTAGGGTTATTATTTAGCGTTCTGTTGTGGAAGATGCGCTTCCCCGGATGCAGATGCTGCGGATGCGGGTGCTGGTAATGCTGATGCTGCTGCTGGTGCTGTGGAGGCTGCCTGTGGTGATGCAGATGGATCTTGTGACCCATTGTCGGACTTTTGGCCTCGCCATTTGCCGCCATGACGGGCGTCTTGCAGATGGGCGGAGTGCTCGTGTCCCTTTTGTTGTTCGGCTCCTCCACAGACACGTCTGTCAGCTCCTGAACTTGCTGCTGATGCTGCTCCCTGCGCTGCAGCTCCTGCGGCGCCACCATGGGTGGCGGTGGTGTCGTTGTAACCAACAGTGTCGGGGGCGTGGTTGCGGTCAGTGGGTTAATCAAGGCAGTCACGTTGTTAGCAACAAGGAATTCGCTTAGCGAGTTACGTTTGTTAGCTGCCAGCATGTCGATTCCACTTACATCGCTGCCCTCTTTGGCCGGGTCTTTCTCCATTGTGCTCCTGATCTTCTGCTTGGCCTTGGCTGCAATTCCCGACTTTAGCTGCTCCAGCATGCGCAGCTCCTGCTGTTCTTCCCGCTCCCGCTTGCTTTGCTGGAACTCCTCCAGGGCGCACCCATCTGCTTCTGTCTCGGCATCGCTGCCATCGTCACTCTGTGCCCGCAGGCGAACTACGGGAGCCGGCTTCGAAGAAGCAGCGTCTCTAGCCTTCGATGGTCGCTTCTTATCCGCGATAATGATGTCGTGGTAGCGCTCCGGGTGCCGTTCTGCCGGTGAGTAACGCAGCTCCGAAGAACTCGACGAGCGGGAAGTACGATGGCGCGCTGGCTTCGGACTGGGCTCTGTAGCCGCCTTGCTCTTTGGCTTAGGTTTCGGAGAGTTGGAACGCTCCCGCTTGACGGTCTTGCGAGGCTCTCTCTTGACCGGACTGGCCTCCTTCTTCACCTCCTTTGGCTCGGGTGTGCTACTTGTCTTCTTTTGCTTTTTGGGTGTAGGCTTCGGTGACGGCGTCCGGGAGGCAGACGAGCTACTGCTGCTACCGGAGCTACCGGAATCCGAGATGGAACTGGCGGAAGCCTCTCGTTGGCGCTTGGTCTGCTCCAGAGCCACCATCACCGACTTGGTGCCCAGGATATCGTTGACCGTATCCTCAGCCGCCTTGAAGGGATTGAAGGCTAGCAGGGCCGTCTTCTTGGGCGGCGCCTCTGGGGAATGGGCTTGTGGAGATTGCTTGGACTCATCGGTTTGTTTTCTGCTAACATTTGATGGAGATCGCTGGTGTTGGTCATCTCTTTTTTTTGGACTGTGATCCTTTGAGGAGTTTGTGGCGTGTGATTCCTTGACTAGACGCTGCCTCTCCTTTGAGGGCTGTCTTTCATTGGAGCGCTGTCTTTCTTTAGAGCGATTCCTTTCCTTAGAGCGCACTCTCTCCTTGGAGCGCAGCCTATCCTTAGAGCGCTGTTTCTCTCTTGAGCGCTGCCTCTCCTTGGACCGTTGTCTCTCCCTAGACCGCTGCCTGTCCTTAGAGCGTTGTCTATCCTTGGATCTCTGCCTCTCTTTGGATCGCTGCCTTTCCTTGGATCGCTGTCTCTCCTTGGATCGCTGTCTCTCCTTGGAACGCTGCCTTTCCCTGGATCGCTGGCGCTCCTTCGAACGGGGTCGAGCTTTGGATCTCTCCCGTTCTTTCTCCACAGATCGTTTTCTGTTGTTAGATCTCTGCCTATCCTTGGATCTGTCTCGTTTTTTATCCACCAATGGTTTTTTGTCCTTGGACTTATGCCTTTCCTTAGACTGGTGTCTGTCTTTTGATCTTTGTCTCTCCTTTGATCTCAGCCTGTCCCTGGATCTTTGTCTTTCTTTAGACCGCAGTCTCTCCTTGGAACGTTGTCTTTCCCTAGATCTCTGTCTTTCCTTAGAACGTTGTCGCTCCTTAGAGCGTTGCCGTTCTTTGGAACGCTGTTTTTCCTTAGAGCGTTGCCTTTCCCTGGAGCGTTCTCCTTGCGTTAACGGCTCCTTTCGTGGAGGAGTGCCAGCCGATCGATCCCTGACCTCGTTCGATCTGGCCTTCGCATCCTTTCGACGCTCTCGTGAGCGGCTGCGAATTGAATTATCCTGGTGCTGCAAAGGATTGACATCAGCCTTTGAAGACTTTACGCCTCGCGACTTGTTCGGTTTCCTCTCCTTCCGCGATGGAGTGCTATGTAAGGGAAATGCAATAAGTAGAGTCGAATCCTTAAATAGATTTGGACTTACTTGGATCGCTCAGAGTCCGTGGAACTGGCACGGGGGCGTGTCTTCTTTTTCAGCTTCTTGTCGCGCTTTTTCTGCATAATAGAAAGGTGAAGAGAGTTAGTGGAGCGACGACTAGGAGGCAAAGGGCTCTTGCCAAGAGTCTAACTGTTAGCAGTAAACATAGTTCATTCTGGATGGCATGACAGACATATGAAGTAGAGTTTGGTGCTTTCAATTTTGGCAGCATATGTCTTGGGCAAGCATTCTCTCTAGGACTGGAAACAGTTTTATATTTTGCATTTCGTACACTTTTTTTAGTTCAGTTTCTGCTATCACTGCGCACTAGATATATATTCTATGATCGTGGCTGTTAATAGTTAGTAGCTTAAAGAAAAACAGTCAAAATGAAAGTACTTACAAAACTACAAGAGAGCCATTGAAAGCTATCCTATATCAATGAAGCGCCAAGGGTTTTTCGTAAACAAAATGTAAATTTCTTTTGTCGTTTCTTCAGATTTACTTAAGCTAAATAATTTGTTTGTTTGGTTTTTTTGGAAAAACGATCTACGTGTAACTGAAAACTGTTACGAATAATATTTGAAAGTATAAAAAGAGAGCGAGGGGCCATCCGCAGGTGGTTTTGATTTGGAATTTGGTCTGTACAGCTGGATAGCCCCTCAAAGAATTTCTTTCTAGGCATCTATAGAGGAACACAAAATTAGGTATAGAAAGTAGAGTTCAGGAGGAAAATTATAAATTGTTTATACTAGATTGTGAATGCGGTTGAAGCCTTTTTACCTTTTACAATATTTGTGGGTGATTTTTTTTGGTTTGGATTTGATATTTGTTTACTAATTTATACGCAGGATTTATATATATATATATTGTTAGTTCAGTACTTGATTCAGTAATTGTTATATTATATTGAATGTTTTCATATTTGGTGGAAAAAGAAGTAAATAAGCAAGAGAAGAAATGGCGTATGTTTAATATTCGGTGATCAATTGAAACAACGAAACGGAAAAGTCAAACGAGTTATCATCATATACAGGTAATAATATCATATACGTAATACAATATATATATAAAGAGAGAGGCAGTAGTACTTCCACTTGTTAGTTGTATTTGATGAGTTGGTAAAATATATAGGAATAGATATATGTTACAATATTTGGCGGGTAGAGTGCGTGAGAAAGAGCATCAGAGCTGGACCCTCTACTGGACAGTACACATGCACTCCCGCTTTCTCTCCCTCTCCCCGAACATCATCAAATAGAGCTTCGGGGATCATGGCCCTTAGCCCAGTCATACCTTGTCCTTCTTGGCTTTCTTGCGGGCGCTTCTCTTCGTCGACTCGCGTCGCTCCTCGTCATCACTGCTACCCGCCGCCGCATCATCCTCGTCCTCGCTGTCCTTGTCACTATCCTGTCGCTCACTGTCGCTGTGTCGGCGCTTGCGTGACTTTTTCTTCTTCGACTTACTGCAAGTAGAATGGTTGGGCATCCTTTTAGAATTAGTTAATCCACGGTTTACACAGATCACTACTGAAGAGTGTGAGATATTGGACAAGGCGCTTCTGCTAGGAAGCCCTAGAGGTTGGCAGCGTTATGTATAAATAGGTTAACTTGTGGTTCAGTGCTTTACCTTCATCGAAAACAGCGCAAATTGCTTTGTATTAACATTATAAGAAGGTAATCATAACAATAGAAAGAAAGATGAGAAAGTAATTCGCTTTTAATTCACAGAAAAGACCTCTTAAACTTTATTGTATTGTATTTTTTCATTATTTCTAGTAATTCTTTACTGTTTTTGGTTTTTTTTTCTGGTTGGCAAATGCATGTTGTCTATGGTTTTTATAGATTGTAGAATCGAATTATTACTTACCGCCGGGCAGTTTTTTATTTTGGTTTTTTTTTTTTTTGGGAAAATGTGAATGGGCAAAAATCTGTGATCAGTTTCGGTTAGTTGAGTGTAATGTGTTAAAGTGTTAGGTGTGTAGATTGTGTGTGTTGGCTAGTGTACAACCCATACGTACTTAGAGATCCCTGATCTTGATCTAGATCTACTCACTCTCGCTGCACACGGATTCAAATAAAAGATTGCCTTGGGCAAGTGTTAGGATATCGAAAGTATATATAATATATATTGCAGAAAGGCAAACATTTTTGAAACATTTTTTTCACTTGATTGGATTTGGATTCGGTTTGGTTTGGTTCATATGACTTGTAGGATAGTGTCTGTTAGCGCGATTAAAACTAAGTGGGAGAGTCATTTGTACGTAACTTTTCGCTTCTTTTTACTTTCTTTCTCATATGAGTCCCTTTTGTGGTTTTAAATGCAATGTAAAAGAAGGAGTAGAGACGGAAAAACAAAATGTATTAAGCAGTTGATTGATAGTTTACAAAAATATCATTGGTTTTGTTGTCGTCACGCTCTAAGTTTTACTATGTACGATAACGATAACGAAGGATAACCATAACGATAAGGACAACCAAAAATCATGAGACAGTAGAGTCCACAAAACGAAAACAGAGCGAAAGGAAACAAAAACACAGAGAGCTACGGTTGAAGGCGGCAGGATTTTGGTTCCGGGGGCCCAGGACTCTTACCTCTCTTTCTTGTGCTTCTTTGACTTTTTCTTTTTGTCCTTCTTGCGCTCAGGACTGGCCGAACTGTTGAAAAGAGGGATATCATATCAGTAAATGAGATTTAAGAAAGCTTTAAAAGGACATACCTTTCTCTGGCGCGCTTCTTGCGCTTCTTTTTGTCCGACTTGGAGACATGCTCGCGCTCATTGTCGCTGGTGTTGTCTGCATCCCGTTCGCGGGAGGGAGTGCGGACTAGAGCATACCGCTTGCCCGTCTCCTTATCCTTGCCTGCTGCAGCCGCTGCGGCCGCGGCCGCTGCTGCCAGGCTTTCGCGCTGGGCGTCCAGTTCCTTTTGGAGAGCCACGCTTTTGGCTAGATCCTCCTTTGCCTTGCGATCGCTGTCAAAACTGCTGCCCTCCACAAAGTACTCAGATATGTTGAAGGCCTCGCGCAGCCTGGCGTTCTTCTGCTGCTGAGCCTCGGCTATTTGATGGGTGTCGCGAACACTGCAAAGGTATTAAGCATAAACATTTCATTAATAATTATACATACTTTACAATTTATCATTAATTTAAAATCCTATGAAACTGTTTCCAGTTTGAACTTTGTTCTTTTGATGGCTACACTCTCTTTCTCTGTGTATTAAACATCTAAATATATTTTGTATAAGTCCCATAGATGGCTACCTTGTGGCCACGACACTGCCGGCACCCAGCAGCAGTGTCTCCAGCAGATTGCTCGAAGATTGCTTCAGCAGCTCGAGCAAAACGCTGCTGTCTATATTGATTTTTGAACAATGAGACGAAGGCAGCTCCCGCTGGATGGCAAGCTCAGCTGTTCGCTGACCGGGCTCAAGTGCTGTCAAAGACATGGCTGCCGGCTCCGGCTCGGTCTCTTTCTGCTGGCAGGCGCAGGCGCAGTCGTGCTGCGTCCGTCTGGAGACTGCTGGTCGCCTGGTCTTGTTGGCGCCGCTTGCCAACGCCGGCCGCAAGGGCTTGAACTTCCTGGCTACCGCTGCATAGTTCCACGTGTGAGCCGTGGCGGTGAGACGAAAGCCCTCGTACTTGGTCAGGTACTCCCGGTTGTCGTGCTGGAAGTAGGGTGCCTTGCACTTCCTGCCCCCGTTCGCGTTGGCTTTGGGTCGGGGACTGCCTGGATTGCTCCCGGGTGTGGGTGTGGGTGTGCTGCTTGGGGTGGCAATGCTGGTGGTGGTGGTGGAGGTGACCGCGTGACCTGCGCGTTTGCGTCGCTTGCGGCGTTTCTTCGGTTTCATCACCTGCACTGTGGTGGCCGCCGTTGTTGTCGTTGTGGATGCGGTGGCGGCCACCAAGGCAGCTGCCGTGGTATCCGCTGCTGCCGACGTAGCCGTGGATGTGGCATTGGTTGTGATGTTGCTGTAGATCTCCGAGGAGAGCATCTTAAATATATTTAAAGGCTTTAAGGTGCCTTCTGTTTGTAATATTTTTCTATTTCTATGCTTCTTTATATTTTGTATTTAAACTCCACAAAAGGAAGACAGTGGATATTACCAAATGGGTTTTATTTCGCGATTTAAGTCGATTTTTAATTATTTTTAAAGTTGAGTTAAGGACTGGCTGAGTATATTTTTTATTTATTTATTTATTTATTTTTTTTTATTTTATTTAATTCACTGTTTTTAGTTTTCTCAGGGTTTTGTTTGTAGTAAAAATATATTTTTAATTTTATAAATCCATGTATTTGGAAGACAGTGGACTTTTTTTGGTAAATAATTTCATTAACGCGTTATAGGACGTTGTCTTTATAAACATCTTCATTAGTTTGCATATCCAAGTATATGGGAAGACATTGGATCTTGGCAATAAATATATGCTTTTATATGTATATAAAAATATTAATTTTATATATAATATTTCATCGATTACTAATTGGAAGACGATGGATAAGCTTATATTTGGTTTCACTTTCGCACTACATAATGCGAAATTTGTTTCTCATTAATCTCTGGATATCCTTATCGTTGTGGAAGACGTTGGATGAGATTTAACTGACATTTACTCCGCATAGGGCAACTTCGAGCACTTTCTGACTCTGCTTCACAACTTAGACTACGTTTAATTACTGACTAGGAATTGGAAGACTTATTTAGTGATTTGTTGCATTCATTCGGCTTGGATATCAAGTGTTGGTCTCTCTCCGCCTCGATGCCATCTTAATGGCAAAGGGGGCTCCACTCGTAGCACTTGCAACAACCACTAGAATATAGTAGACGACATGAGCGCTTAATCCACAAAGGCTCGGTAGCGGGTTGCACTGCTGACTTAGGGGTGGGCCAAGGGCTGTCAGTCACCACCAGCACGGCCGGGTTTCCCTTCGGCGGGTGCATTTGCTCTTCCACTTCTCCTCCTCGGCCACACTTGAAGGTCTGCTGCTGCTGGTGCTGCTATAGCAATCCTAGTCATGTGGAATATAATACGCCTTTTATTTTTTTATTCCCCTTTGATTAGTCGGTTGCATTTTCGGGCCTCTGGTCTCCCGTGTTTGGGGTTGTTATTGATTTTTCGAGCGATTTTGCTGGCACATCTAGGCCGCTTTCCGGTTCCCTCTTTTGCACCAACTCCATCGCATTGCCCCCGCACACCACGTCCTTGCCAAGGACACACTTAGTCGGTCGTTTTAGTGAACATTAATTGATCTAATTTGTATGTATAGATTTATCTAGTTGCTACGCGGCGATTCCTGAGTTGCTTTGGCTTTGGAAGACTTGAAGTGACTGAGCGCATCCCGGAAAAATCTTTGCAGCAGCATTTTCTCTATCTCTCGTCGCCTGTGATTGGCTCCCGACTGACATGGGGGTGGTGTTGGGCGCTGCGGCGGCGCATGTCGCCTGACTGCCTGCCTGCGTGTGTGGCATACCATACAGCTGTCAAAAGCTGGCCGAGATTTCGCCAGGCCTTCGTTTTGTTTAACCGTTTATTGATTTCTCCACGTTTGGGTGCACGTTTTGTTTAAAATTACATAAGGTTGATGGTTAAGTAAGTGGTTGGTACTCACGCTACACGCCCAAATTCATCCTTGGTCAGATCGGTTTTGCCCTGTCCCATCAACTTCTGGCGGAAAGCGTCCACATGCGTCTTGATCTCCTCCGGTGTGCGTCTGTTAATTGCGAAATATAAAATATTAATTAATGGGATAAGTATATATGGATAATGGCTGCTTAAGAGTACCTTTCAGCCTGGTTTAATTTAATATTTAAAGCGTTATAAAGTAACTAGAGTGTAAACTGGGGAGTGCTCGGATTTGCGGATGTCTTCCGCTCAAAATAGTCTCTACAACTGAAATGCACTTTTTTCACCACTAGCAGGCCCAGGCCCAGGCCAGGCCAGTCCGGGCCGCCGGAAGAGTGCTCACATGTGACGGCGACGCACGAGGGGGTGCGTCTAAGGGTGGCTCGTGCCTCAGTATTAGGGGGGTTGTTTATTTCAGCGCGTGTGCGTCCGCTCTTTCGCTCTTTTGGCGAGCTACCAGGCGCCAATGTAAACATAAACAACAAACCAGCAACAGACCGGCGTTATATAATATTTGCACCAACTTAACCCGTTGTCGTAAGTCTGATTTCCGGGAAATGTAAATAATTCTCACCCCTGCTTCTCGAGAATTTCCTCGAACTCGAGGCACTTCACTTCGATCTTGCGCTTGCGGTCATGGTCCAGGATCTCCTTGTTGGGCGGCCTATTCAGCTGGGCGTCCAGTTTCTTGGTGTCGTCCTCGGCGCGGTAGTCCTTGTCCTTCTTGCCCGGCCTCACAAACGCCCAGTTGCGCTGCACGTGGCCATTGGTGCCGGAGCCACGGGGAGTGGTAAGTCCGATGCCGTTGTACATTCTGCTACTGCTGGATGTACTCCAAGTAACGCCGCTAAACCAATAACGCCTGCTCCCGGACGGTCACTCGTGCGCTGCTCCACAAAACGCTGCAATTTCGCCAAGGTGTAAAATCGATTTTTGGTGCATTGCCATCGGAAATGCAAGTGCATTTTCCGCGGGCTTCTGTTCTCACCTGTTTTGCGTTCCTTTAGCGCTGCAAACTGAGCTCTGGCGGCCTATTTACTGGTTTTTCCTCGGTTCCGGTAAAATTTTATGCCAATTTTCGGAATTTGTTGTGCGAAATTCTTGTAAAATATTTAGAGATGGGAAGAAGCTTGGATGCCTTGATACTTCGATGTTATCGATAGCGTGGTAACTATCGCGTCTTGGAATCAGAGGGACTACCGCGGTTTCTTCTTAAAAAGCAAAAAAGTTTTGTTTCCGAATATTAACAAATACCAATACAGAAAAGCTGATCATCTATTGTAACAAAATTTCACTTTAGCTCGCCGATTACTTTAATAATATCGATACCTGCTTACATGTGTCCCCATTTCGAACAACCACGGTCACACTTCTGCCAAACGTAAACAAATTTTGTAGTTTTCGTAAATTAAGGGAATTTAAAGAAATTACTAAACTATTGACATGAGCGACACTGAGGAGCCAAAGCCAGAGAGTTCCTCGAAAATTGTATTTAAGAAATCCGGCCGAAAGAACTTGCGTCAGCGTAAAAATTCGGATGACGAGGAGAAGGAGGAACAGTAAGTATCTTTTACAATAAATTGATTAATGAAATTCAAATAAATATTCTTAAACAGATTAACCCTTGAAGAAATCAAGGAGCGCCAGAGACTGAGACAACGGCCCAATGGCGTCAGCCTGGTGGGACTGGCCCTGGGTAAGAAGATTGCGCCCGAGGAAGAGCTGGCCATCAAGGATCCGTTTAATGTCAAGACCGGCGGACTGGTCAATATGCAGCAGCTAAAGTCCGGCAAGGTGAAGGAGGTAGAGGATGCCTATGATGTGGGCATTGGCACACAGTTCTCGGCGGAGACAAACAAGCGGGACGAGGACGAGGAGATGATGAAGTACATAGAGCAGGAGCTGCAGAAGCGCAAGGGCGGCGCTTCAGAGGCAACAGACGATGATGGCGATGTGAACAAGTACCTGACGCCTGAGGATGCCGCCTTGTACGCCCTGCCCGACCATCTGAGGCAATCGTCCTCGCACAGATCCGAAGAGATGTTGTCCAATCAAATGCTCAACGGCATTCCGGAGGTGGATCTGGGCATTCTGGCCAAAATCCGCAACATCGAGGCCACGGAAGATGCCAAGCAAAAGCTGCTGCAGGATGCCAAGAATAAGAAGGACGGACCCTCGCAGTTTGTGCCCACGAATATGGCGGTGAACTTTATGCAGCATAACAGATGTGAGTGCGTATCTTATTTAATCTTTTTATTTCTATAACTATCTCGAATTTTCAGTCAACATCGAGGATAATGGCGATCAGAGGAGACGGAAACGAGAGGAGCGAGAGGGAAACAAGTCTGCCCAGCATCAAACAAATCCCAATGGTGTCAAGCGGGCAACTGATGATTACCATTATGATAAGTTTAGGAAACAGTTTCGCAGATATTAAAAGCTTAACAATAAAGAGTACACTTTGTTTATAGAAGTAAAGGATTTGTTTTATTTTTAATATACGATGAAAGAATTTATTTTTTACGGAATCCACTTGTAGCGCCTCTTCTGTAAGATAACAAAATAATAATTAGTAATCAAGATTATACATAACATATATATTTATATTTTAATGATCAGTAAGAGACAAAATTAATTTCAAAGCAACGCATGACTGAAGCTCAATGAGATTCCTACTCAAAATATCATCATAAACAGAATACTTAAGGAATTTTTTGTAAAGAATTTATACACACCTTGTAGTAAGAGAGCACCACGATGCAAACAGATTGAAACCTGAAATAAATTAGAAAAAATGACTTTATTAGTTGGGAACTCTTTAGAGAGAATTTTATGCTTTCAATTTGTATTATCAGAGATTTAAAATGATTTCATAGCAACGCATGACTGAAGCTCAATGAGATTCCTACTAAAATATATCATCAACTAAGGGAATATACACTATTCATATTCCAAAATGTATAATTACCTTCATGTTCGAGAATTTGAAACCATTTAAAGACAACCTGTAAAGAAAAAGATTTGTTAATATGAAGAAAACAATTAAATATGCAGTTCAAACTTACCTTTTGTTGGTGTTTACATTTCAATTTAAAACTTAAAAATAACACTGAAATAAATATTAAAACACAAACAAATTCACGAGTTTCACTTAGTTTTTGAGTGGTTTTTATTATACCCAGACAACTCTGAAACGTTCATCCTCGCTCTAAAACGGTCAGCTTAGCAATATTTTGTTTATAGAAAAAAGATTCTACATGGAACATGTAGAACGCGATGCACATTCCACCCGTTTATATGATGCCGATCTTGTTGGCAATGTCCAGAGCATCGTAGTCGCGCGCCAGGCGCACATAGGCCTTCTTCTGGCCATCGGGCCTGATCAGCACATTGACCTTGGCCACCTTGATGTCGTAGAGCTTGCGGACGGCCGCACGCACATGGTTCTTGTTGGCGCGCAGGTGAGTGAGGAAGACCAGGGTGTTGTTGTCCTCGATCTTCTTCATGGCCGCCTCCGTGGTGAGCGGGTACTTGATGATGTTGTACGCGTCCATGCGGTTCCTGGTCGGCACCGACTTCCTGGGGTACTTGGGGTTCCTGGGCAGCTTCAGGGTGGTGGGCCGACGGAAGTGCACGTTGGTGCGCACCTTACGGGCACGGGTGCCGAAAGCGCCCTTGATGATCTACGAAATAGTACATACATTCGATAAGAGAGGGATTCTGCGATTTAATGAAAGATCCTACCTTCTTCTGGACCTTCTTGGCGTTCAGCAGAGCCACAGCCTTAGCCTTGGCAGTTCCCTTTGCGGGCTTGGTGCCGGGCTTCAGGGCCTTCTTGGCCTTGGCGGCGGCACGAGCCTTCGCGGAGAGCTTGGCCAGCACCGACTGGGGCTTCTTGCCGGCAGCCAGCTTCTTCTTGACATCCTTGGCCTTAGCCTTGGTGGCCACGGTCTTCTTCACGGCCGTGGGCTTCTTGGCAGCACCAGCAGCAGCGGCGGGCTTCTTGGCAGCACCAGCAGCGGCGGCGGGCTTCTTGGCCGGAGCAGCAGCAGCCTTCTTAGGGGCAGCAGCTGCGGGCTTGGCGGCAGCCGGGGTTTCCTTCTTGCCGGCAGCGGGAGCCGCAGCAGCAGTCTTCTTCTGCTCGGGCTTCTTGTCGCCCGGCTTGGCTGTAAACAGAAGGGGAATCGGGGGTCAGCACGAAGTTCGCATTAGTAAACACGCTCCAAAGTTAGGTTAGGCCTGATCGATCAGCAAATGCAATGGGACGCGCTTTAACTAATGTTTCATTATTTTTAATTCACTTTAACACTGCATATCACACTCATTAGGTGCGTTCAATTAGCTCGCATGTTCCCACAACTGCTCAGACGCTGCAGCCACCACCGCACGTGGCTCATCGGAGTCGGTTAAAAACGCACATTTCTGCCTTAAATTAACCAGTTTCTGCGCACATTCGTATTTCCACGCATTAGTCTAGCTTTCGCCTTGCTTTTGCAGATAAATGCACACATTTTCGGCCTATTTTTATATGAAAAACCCTTACCGGATTTCTCGGTTGGCTTTTTGGGTGGCATTTCTACGAGAAAAAGAAATGAAAAGGAAAACTGAGGGGCAGTTGTCAAAAAGCGGAAGCACGAATTGACAGCGCCGTGGCCAGATCAGCGGAGTTCTGCGTTTAACAGCACAATTTTACGTGCTTAACAGCTCACTGTTAGCAGTTAACATGACAATGTCTGCACGCTGCAAAAAAGTTACAATGAATGGCAGTACTGTTATGCACGAGAGAAATTCGGTTAATTTTGAATTTTAAAATTCGATTTCTTTTTTCTGTAAAATAAATGATAATATATTGTATAATAATAAAAGTACTAAAAAGTTTGTAATTAGATTTTTTATCCAAACAACTTAAGGATTTTTATAACTGAAATTATTTTTACAACAAACGTACATAAATACAGGGTATGATTAAACTTTTAAAATTAATCAGGCTAGCAAGCACAACCACTTTTTTGAGGCGCAAATCGACTGCTAATAAAGTTACGTAAATCTGAAAATAATAAATCAATAAAAAATTCGAATTTTAGACATTTAATTTCAATTAAATTACCAAAAGTTTGCGATTTAGCTGATACATCAGTCTTCCCCTTTTCCTGGGCCGTGCCTTTGTGATACTTCAGTTCCTGCTTTATGGCCTCCTCGAAGGCCAAGCCTGCAATCCTTTGAAATAGTTCCGTGACCTTATATCCGGATCTGGCCGATACTGACCAGTATTCCGCCTGCATTTCGGAAGCGGCCAAGCCCGCCAAACGCTCCATCCGCAGGAACTCCTCTTTTGTCTGGTAAATAATTTATAATTTATCTTATTTCCATAATTATATAATTTATATTGAGTTTACCAAGAGATCTGCTTTTGTGCCCGCCAAAAATATTAGCGGTTTCTGGCCAGCGTTATAGTTAAGTGCACTGTTGAGCCATTTTTTTGCCGATTCCAGGGAATCACGCTTAGTCATGTCAAAGGTGACCACTATCACTGAGGTAGGGAGAAAGATAATTATTACAAATATTTAAAAAATAATTACATCTTCTTCTATTTCTTACCACTTGCATTGCGATAGTAAGCTCCTGCAATGCACTTAAAGCGCTCTTGTCCGGCAGTGTCCCACCTTAAAAACATACACTAGTAATAAATAAAATATCTCAACAATGCCCAAAGATAAACTCACATTTCCAGACCATAATTGTGACCCAATATGTTAAAGTTCTCCAGCTCAAAGTCAACGCCAATGGTGGCCTTGTAGTTCGACTGGAACTTGTCGAAGCAGAAGCTGCAAATAAATAACCTTTTGGATATCCCCATAAGATTTTAACTTATCCAAAACTCACCGATTCACGATGGCCGTCTTGCCCACCGAGCAGTCGCCCACAAATATGACCTTGCAGGGTCGCAACTTGGGCCTGCGTGGCTGCTCCAGGTGATAGCGCACCTGTGGTGCAAAGTCCCGTTCCCTATCCCGACTCAGCGGAGTCTGGGCGGGACTATAGGCCGGCGGCAGGTGTCGCAGGTGGGTCCGAGGATCGTGCATGACCACCGTGGGCGGTGCGGGCAACAGCAGGTTCTGCCGCAATAGATGAGGCATTGTGAACGTCTAAATTTCAACTAAATAAATGCTACGAGAACTGGGAAAGCCAGCCAGCCATCAGCCGCAAGGCAAGTCGTCATCGCAAAACCACAAAAACTTAGCTGGCGACGCGACCTGAACTTGGTGGCTATGATATGCTCAAGGTGCTCGCAATCCGAGTAGTGTTTTGCATTGTAAATGCACGCGGGAGTGATAAGAGTTAGTTCCGATAGGAAAAGGTATCCCAAGGCGGTAACTGAAGAGGGGACTGTAGCATACGCTTACCACAAAATCATGTAAGAAAGGGTAGTGGTAGTACTAAAACGCGTTATTTTATGGCACTTGAAAGTATGTGTCTTTAGCTTCAATATTTATGTAGGCAGTTTTAATGGATAACTTTAACTTTAGAGCTATCTGGTGGCTCTCAGTCTTGATTTATTAAGTTAATATTAAACTCAAGCCCTGGTTAGGCTTTTCCCACCCGGATAGCCAAAGTAGCCAACGCTCTTCACTTGCTGGCGCAAATCTGGCTGCATGGACAAGGCCTTAAAGATGGCCCTTTTGAGCTGCTTGTATTGAAAGTGGGGGGAGAAGGGCATGTCCTCGAAGGACAACATCAGCAGATTGCCAGCTTCATTTCCCACGGCCAAGGAGCGCCCACAATGGGTGAATCTGCAATCAATCAATAAGTTACAAAATTAAATTAAAAATGCGAAAGAAAAACCCACTTGAAGGTTGTATAAAAGATGTTAGCATCGATCGTTGTGGAGGACACTGGCTTCATGGTGCTGTTCCGCAGATCCCAGATGTCAACGGTGCTGCGACTAAGCGAGACCAGGATGGTGGAGTGAGTCCGGCTCCAGCGGGCGCAGTGAACCGGCGACAGGTGGTGTTGCAGGGTCACTATGGGCAACAGGATGCCAGCCAACCAAATTCGAATGCACCTGCGAAGAAAAAGAGGATAATTAGGCTAACAAATGCCTCGCAAAGTGGGGCAATCCCCACCAGTCACTGCCACACGTGAGGTACATCCTCGGAGACCACGGCGAGAACTCCATGCAGGCTGCGGGTCCGTCGTGAACCTGCCTCAGCTCCAAATGCTGCAGCGGGTAGTTCGTGGAGCATTTGTATAGGGTACCCTCGTCGGTGAGGACATAGTAAATGTCCGCCTGAACAGGATCAAGAACCAATTCCAGGCACTGTGGATGCCGATTGGCCAAGAGAGAAGCAGCTGGCGGTGCTCGATCAATGGGAATCCCCTCCAGCTCGCCCTCTGCCCGCTGCAGGCGTTGCTGCTCGAATCCCAGCAAGTTAGGACTATTGATCAACCGGTACTTGGTCACAGCTCCCGCCTGTGAGGTGGCCAAAAAGGGCGTGATATGAGGATCCTTGGAGCCGACATCGCCCTCGAAGTAGATCCATTTGATGGCGGTCACCGGCTCAAAGTGCGGCGATGTCGACCGCTGGGATATGGCCAGCGGGGGAAGATCCTGACCAGAAATATCCCTCACTTCTACGCTGCCATTGTGAAGGCCAATGGCCAGCAGTTGGGGCTGCGTGGGCGAGAACTCCACGGTGACCACAGGCACCTGGTAGTTGTAGCATCTCTCCGGGTTCACCGGGTTCTTGATGTTCCACACATAGACCCAACCGGAGCGGGGTAACCGGCCCACCTTTCCATGGCTGTACACACCATAGGCTACCGCCATGATGTCCCCGTTGCTGGGGCAAAAGCTCATATCGCTCACCGCCTGATGAACTGCCGGATTCGCTGACGGAGGACTCAAACGCCAAAGGAGTCCCAGTCGATACTTGAACTTGACATCCTCGGCCAAGGGATCGGGTGGGGCCATGTTCCTATACCGTCGCTGTTGTGGTTCAAACACATTGCTGGCCAGGATGCGCATGGTCAGCATGAGGGCCAGGCGGAAGCCAGGCAGGCTGTTGATCTCCACAAACTGATCCACTCCTCCGACATGGTAAGTGGTAACCTCAATCTTGCGCTCGCCCTGCACTTCAACACTTGTCGTAGACTTTTGCAAATCTGCGTAGGTGTCGTACATCTCAAAGTTGGACACGTAGGACCCCATCTGGGCGGTGGTCAACCGCTCGGTGTTCACCAGTCGGGACTTCATCAGGGCCGTCATGGTTTGGGTGTCCGCATCCACGGTTCGCCGGGTCTTGTCTATTCCAGAGAGTAGTTCGTCGTATTTTCGATTGTCCTCTATGACCAGACGACCCTCCTCGGTGTCCACCAGGGCGGTCATGCTGCGTCTCTCGAAGAGCACCACAATGGGTGTCTTGCGGAGCAGCACCTTGATAAAGGGAGCGGCCGAAGGACGAGCGGCAGAGGTAGCGGATCTGGGAGATCGAGCAGAGAGAGCCGAGGGGACGGGCTCCTCCTGGAACTCTGTTTCCTCGGGCAGGGGCGAGTGCGGCTTGTCCAGCTGCAGCTTGTACAGATTGATCTGGAAAGGATCTGCTTATGATTTCTCAATAAAATAATTTAAGTGTAGATCTCACCCCCAGAGCGATGTCATCCAAGGAGGCTCGCATGACGCACTTTGTCCGATACTCTGGAGTCCGTAGTTTCTGCATCAGCTGCTGCTGCTCTGCTCCGGGAGCCCGCATCAGTGGGTGATCCCGTATAAGCTGGCTAAGCTTCTCAAAGTCCGCCGTGCGGTAATCCTTCCTCAAAGGCCGGGACATTTTCATTCAATGAGATTGGCGCGTGCCGCCGTTTCACGAGCCTGTTTATTCCGCCCCATGACGACATGGTAACGTAACAATAACCATGTTACGGCTGCCATAACTACCTCGAGTTGCATTCGGTGGGTGTTGCGGCATGGAGCTCCATTAACAACCTTACACATCGTTGATCCGCTGCTCTCTTTGCATCTATAAATATTTATAATACATATTTTAAAATCACGCAATGGAAATGCATATATACGAAGGCACACAGAGTGATCACTGGGGGAGAGATACTCTTTATAGAGCGGGGGAGTTAAGTTAAGGTATTAAACATTTGATTATTATTTTGGAAATAATTTATTACTAAGATATTATAAACCAATGGATATCTCATACCACAGGTGACTGAACGAAAGTACCCTCCTTTTGATCTCATTTCCTATAATAACAAAAACAATCTATTGCGATCCAACCGACTTTCCGCGGAAAGCCCTCAAACAATAAAGACAAACAATTCATCGGCAGTTGGTGCTATGACCTGTCACAAGAAAAACCCCCCAGCCGGAGAAAAAAGAGATGGAAAACCAAGTGGCAACAATAGTAGCAATAACAAGCCCCACTACCAAGCAACAAAAATGAAATTCGTATTCCAATTAGACGCGTACCAAAAGCAATTTGCCGGTGCGATGGCGGCAATAATAGAAGAATAGTAGAGTAAAGGGTCTTTAATTCCGCCACATAGCCTGACAATGGCCCAAAGATGAGGTCCACCAGAGGAGGAGGAGGGAGCAGTGGGCCATATGTCTGATGGCGAGTGGTAAGCCATATATAGTACACATAACAAAATAATGGGAATTTTAAGAATAATGAAGGTTATTAAAATAAAATGTAAGGGTGTTCATTACTTTAATTTCTAAGTGTGCTAAAAATAAATATTAATTCAGAGGTCATTGAACGATGAATGCATATGACATAGGGCAAAAAATAAATCTTACAAATAAATCTGAAAAATATATAGATCTATTTGTTTCTGTGCACTTAAAGTACAAGTCGAAAAGAAGTTGTTTATGTTAATTTAGGTTTATGCTTCGCTACGCTGATTCGCTTAATGAACAGGTAACCAAGAAGGGGTAAGAATCATACATAGATTGTATATTTTTGGGGGGAGAAAGCAGGAGACTAAGCCAAGTGCAATATGTCAAATGGACGGGCAGCCGACCAAATGATGGCCAAGAAGCAGCAGAGAGGCTCTACAACAGCAACAGGAACCGTCAACGCATCAAAGCGTTAAGCAATAAATGTGCAGGCAGCGAACAAAGAAAAATTATAAATTTACCATAAATACGAGACTTTGCAGGTTGCGTGCATTGTGAACTCTGCACGAGCCAACGAGTGATCACAGTCCAGTGTGGTTGTTGTTCCCGGTTGGTTAATATTGTTGTTATTTTGATACATATTTTGAAGCCAAAAACAACAAGCACAAGCACGTCAGCCAGCGAAATTCAGTGAACCGCCACCAACGCAACGCCAACTGCGGATGCAGCGTCGGCTGCGACTGCGCAGTTGGACACTGAATTAACCCCGTTTATTTTTATTTATATTTATTTATGAAATAAAATTAAATGAAACATATGAGCTATGATTATTTTTTCTTTAGTTTAACATTAGTAATTGTGTTAATTAAATTAATTTTAATGCAATTTTGGCCTAGTTATGAAATTTTGAAAAGTGTGATTTGTCAAAAAAGTATCATATATAAATATAGATTAAAAGATTAAGAATATTTTAAGTTTTCTAGAAGACATAAGATGCACATATGTACATACATACATATGTATATGTAGATCGGTCCTAAAGCATTTATAAACTATACATAATTGTCATGGTTATTACTTACCGCATGGTATTGATGATGAGCTTCTTCCTGGTCATCCGGATGTAATGAGTTGGCCAGATGTATCAGTGCAATCACTATCACTAACCACTATCACCATAGATGTTAACACCAGGGAGGCCGCGGACAGAAAGAGGGCAGCGCCGCCTGCAGGGCCTGTATTTATAGTCCCCGAGGAAAGAGAACAGAGAATATGAGAGCGAGAGAGTAAGAGCCATCTCTAGAGAAAGGCAGAGAAAGTTAGAGAGTAAGGGGTACCTCTAGAGATATACAGGGAGTATACAGAGCTACAGAGTTAGAGAGAGCGGGAGAGGCAGAGTGGCAGAGCGGTACAGATAGAGCCAGAGAGTCAGAGTGCCAGAGTGCCAGAGCTAGGGAAAAACGGACATGGCTTGATCGCCTCAGATGTTGATACTGATCAAGAATATATATATAAATATATAAGAAGCCTCCGATGTTGATGCTGATCAAGAATATATAAAACAGGTGTATATATATATGTATATATTTATAATAATATAATTATAAAATTTTAAACTTACCTAAATTTAGTAAACAATTTAGAGTTAATAACAAAGGACTAAGAGGTTTCTTTAAAAGAGTAATAGTTTTATTTTAATTTTGTTTATTGTGCAACAAAAATTAAGTACATTTTCCAAAAAGCTTGTTACAAAATTCTTAAATATCCCAACACCCATAATTTTTAACTGACATTTAATTACCTCAACACCTTGTTAGCAAATAAAACTTCTAAACTGGTTAACCCTGTAATTACCAGACAATCTCTGCTCCCAAAAAATTAATATAGTATATTGTATGTTGTTCCAACATAATTTGTAAGCGATATATGAGACAGGCTTACACCAACAACGTTGAACTCAAACCAAAGACCTCAAATCTTTGGACGGGGAAATAAAACGCTGTCGTTTTTACGAACATCTAATTGTGTCCACACCCTGGAAACCCATAAAACCCCAAATGTGGCCGGATCCCCGTCCAGTTGTTTATCTCGATCTTGCATACGCTTCTTCATATGTCGCTCATTCATATCGCTTTTTACCTTAGTTTTTACACCTGTTTTATGTCCCCACTGGCCCCAATGTGCGTTGACTTCGACGGTGACTGCGACGTCGACGGAGACGTCATGCTTTTGGTGTAACATATTTTCTTTTTCATTTTTTTTCCTCGTATATATATACATATATATATTTTTTCGTTTTTATTGTGGCACGGAGCGTGGAGCTGCCAAGCACGAAGCGAAACAGAAACGCAGAGGAAGAAGCGGCAGCGCTTAAGCCGAGCTCAGAGCTCAGAGCTCAGAGCTCGCAGCTCGAAGATTTTTTTCGTAACAGAAAAGCGACTTTTTATTCGTTAATTAACCGTCGAGCGGGCCAGAAGTTCGCTGCTGTCGAGTTTGCCAGTTTGCTGGGGGGAGTAAAAAATAAGGGGCGTGAAAAGCGCTTAACGGAAGTGCACGGCAAGCAGGTAGCTAATTGAGGTGACACCTGACACTCTCTCCGAGCCCTCCCCCAAAAGTACTAAATCGAAAGCTAATCGCTCTACTTGCACGTACCAAGTCATAACTTTCCTGCAAGTGAGTCTCTGGCCAGACTTTAAGCAGACTTCAAGCACTGCAGTTGCTCTTCCGCATGTCTCCGGCGCGTGTGTGTGAAATTATCCCAAGGTTCCCGAGATCCCCAAGAAACCCGCTTGCTTCCCCCTAGATCAGTGAGTGATTTGAGAATTATGCTAATCACAGTGTCCGCGATAATTAATGCGCCTTGTGTCAAATGTTAACAGCATTTCGCAATAAGCCAAAAACCGAGAGACCAAACGAACACCCGCATAACCCAAAACGTGCTCACATAACGAAACCAATCGTCGGATAGATCTTATCACCACAAGATAAAAAACAAAAAATCAATATAAAATGTTGTTTTGGAAGCGTCGTCTCCAGCGATCGAGAAGCAGCTCTTCAAGCGGTAAGTTTTACGATAAAGTTAAGGCAAAAATCAGTGGCCACGCCTTCATGGCGCCCAACCTGGGATTGGGATTGGGCAAGAAGAAATATGATTTCGCTGGGGCAGGTGGAATTCATTTCACTTTGGATACCTCACACTAAGTTTCTGCGTCGTCTCATCTGCATAATTTGCATCTTAAAATTATTTCTGATTCGGTTTCGACTGGTTTATTGATTTGATTTTGTTACATTTTCTGTTCGGCTGATTCCCTGGGCATCCCTGACCATCGCGAACATCTCGAGTGTGTGTCGCCGCATTAATAAATAACCCCATCTGGGGTTTTATCACCTACAAAAGACCTGGAGGCTTGCGGACTGGACAAATACAAATGAGAGCGAGAGCCCGCCACCGACGGGGGGCATGAATAATAGCTCATATCTCATTATCGAGGTTCTCACAGAGGGCGAGTGGAGTGGGGATGGGATGGTCCCTTTTGTGAATGATGTTTGCCAAAAAGATTTATGAATGAATTTAATGTGCTTAGCATAATTATGCAGAGTCTGTGGCGATAATATCTCACTAAGGTGGGGGACTCAAGTCCAAAGAAGCTGGGAGCCAAGGTGTCTTTTGGAGAGTTGGGATCAAGATTTGAATGCTTGTCAGGTAGTTAACTTAATATTATTTGTTTTGACTTTGGAAATTTGTAAAATTCATCAGGTTTCTAAGAACTCCGGATCAGTTTTGTTCTTGTTTTCACTTTTAAACTGGAAATTAAACAAGAAAGGAAGCTAAGTTCGAGAAGTTGAAGTTGAAGTTCGTATCCCCTTGCAATGAGCCTAGCATAATCGAATATGCAATCGATCATAACTAAGCCAAAAAAGCGTTAATTTCAATTTGAAAAGCCGTTCTGTGCTAATTTTTATAGCACTAACAAATCTGCATACTGCGTTTGTTGATGCTGTTAAAAGCTTCGGACTAAAATTATAATAACCTGTAAATAAGTATAAAAACCGGCAATTTTTGTAAAAATTCAGTGTTTTTCAAACATCATAATTAAGCCAAAAATGCATTAATTTCAATTCGAAAAACTGTTCTGAGCTAGTTTTTATATGGTTAACAAATCTGCATATTTAGTTTTCGATTTAAAAGATTTAAATTTT